CTACTCTACTCTCTCTGTCAGCGATTCCAGAATCACTGGATCTTCAATGTAGCCGTCAATGCTAAACAAATTGTATGACCGCACAAAGAAATGCGGCAAATGCCTTTCCCTGAGAGCTTTCAACAGGTTCGCAAATAGTTTCCACATACACTCCGCTCTACTGCTTTCGATCCACATCTCGTCATCGGTTTCCTCAATCGTTCGCAGAAAAATGTTCTTCAGGTAAAATGATATTAGGCCCTTTGCCTCTGTAGAAAGATACACACGATGATATGTCTTTAGGCAACGGTAACACTCACGCTGAATTTCATTTATCTCCTGGCTTAACAAGTATTCTGCATGAGAAAAGGAGATTCTAAAGTCGCATTCTGGGTTGCCACCGTTTTTTGGAGCTTTTACGACCAAGTGAAATCCCTCCCGAATAAATTGATCAACTACGTCAGGTGAAGGCCATTTCCGCCGTCTTTTCCTCCATTCCTGAGCAACCATGGGCCAAGTTAGGCATCGAAATGCAGGGATATTGTCAAAAAGCACCTTTGCCTCGCTAAAAAAGCTACCAATGCTCTTGAGAAAGGATTCAGTTTTATCTTCACTCGGCAAAAATGTTGAGATTGCCGACTCTTGTCCCCCTTTAGTGTGTTTGTGAAGTGCAAGTTTAAATTCTTTTAGGAGGATTCGAAAGAAGCCACCAGCCTCCAAATTTGACAAGTCAAATGTCCATTTTACAGCTGGACTGGTCATGCTGTTCTTTACTGAAGCAGAAAAACCTAGTGCCGCTGGGACAAATACAGATGGAACCACGTCGTCGGCATTATTGCTGAAGCTTACTGAACCAAAAATCGCTGGATGGAAATTCTTTAACGCTGAAGTCGCTACGTCATGCTACGTACTCCGTGTTTTCCGCAAGACAGGAAACAGGTAGCCCAAGCTCACTATGCGAGCCCTGAACAACATTATCCTACTTAGCTAATTAATTATTCATACAGCAAGAAAATTATAAGACGTTGTATGGAGAAATATTCTTTGCTCACTAAATTAGCAAAATGTACATTGAATGTCCCTTTAAAGCTTACCTTTGGCGTCCTCTTGTTTTTCTTTGTATTCTGACTGCATTTCAGACCTCCTAGGCACTGTTTAAGGCCTTTTTTGGAGCGACAGTTTTTCACCTAGATGACAGTAGAGAGAAGAGAAGAGAAGAGAAGGTTGGCAAACCTCTCTTGACCGGCTCCGCTCTCGGCGGCGATAAATTCCGTGACATTTGCGACATGGAGATAATTCCGCCAGAAACAGATGTCCTGATAAATAACGTACATTTTCCATCATTCACATCGCCAAAATTCCCATTTCGAAGGTCCTAAATCGCCAACGAAGTGGGCAATACACGGCTGAGGTTAGGCGAGTCGAGAGCAGACCCGCAACGGACTCCAACCGTCAAGTCGACAATTTCAAAGCGACGCGTGCTGGCAGGGTCAAATTGTTCAACCGTCAAAGGACAATTGGAGCATTTAGCCTACTGGGCACAGTAACTGATTTTTCACTTCTCACATTGCACTCCGGGGTCGCGGAAGTCAAGCATCGCGTGTGCTAGTGACTATCAAACGCGATGCTTGACTTCCCCGACCCCGGAGTGCAATGTGAGAAGTGAAAAATCAGTTACTGTGCCCAGTAGGCTAAATGCTCCAATTGTCCTTTGACGGTTGAACAATTTGACCCTGCCAGCCCGCGTCGGTTTGAATTGTCGACGTGACGGTTGGAGTCCGTTGCGGGTCTGCTCTCGACTCGCCTCACCTCAGCCGTGTATTGCCCACTTCGTTGGCGATTTAGGACCTTCGAAATGGGAATTTTGGCGATGTGAATGATGGAAAATGTGCGTTATTTATCAGGACATCTGTTTCTGGCGGAATTGTCTCCATGTCGCAAATGTCACGGAATTTATCGCCGCCGAGAGCGGAGCCGGTCAAGAGAGGTTTGCCAACCTTCTCTTCTCTTCTCTCTACTGTCATCTGGGTGAAAAACTGTCGCTCCAAAAAAGGCCTTAAACAGTGCCTAGGAGGTCTGAAATGCAGTCAGAATACAAAGAAAAACAAGAAGACGCTAAAGGTAAGCTTCAAAGCGATATTCAATGTACATTTTGCTAATTTAGTGAGCAAAGAATATTTCTCCATACAACGTCTTATAATTTTCTTGCTGTATGAATAATTAATTAGCTAAGTAGGATAATGTTGTTCAGGGCTCGCATAGTGAGCTTGGGCTACCTGTGGACAGGACTGCAAAACGGGTGACCTGTTCCTCTGATTCTGACGTGCAGTGGATTAGAAGGGAAACAGTATTCGATCAGTTCGTCATCGATCATTAACTCATCTGCAGTCGGAAAGATCATAACATCAAAATCCGGCAAAACATCCACATGTAAATCTTCAGCAGAGCTTCCAGTTGCAACCTGACCTGTTGTGGTTTACGACGTAGATGCTTAGTCCACCCCTCGAACAATTCTTCTACATAGATACTATGCAATGTACTCTGCAAACTATCTTTGTGGTCGACTGCGACTGCTAAACACTCGTATAAACAACTAAGGTACTCATTTTCTGCATCGTTACTAGACGCCATTTGCTGTACTGTAGAATGAGCAACAAAGAAAAGCGCTCTTTTGCCTCATCGATCGGACCTGGCAACTTCTTTAAAACTGGCAATTTGACCGCGTGACTATGTTTGGAATGCTATTGTTGATAGCAGATACAGCAGTTCAAATACATCACGTGATGATGCTTATTGAGATTTGGTAGTGGAGATGATATTTGACGGAGAGTTCTTTTTTATAAAACTACAAACATTTTTGTAGTGTTTTCCTGTGACGACCAAATGTTTTGCCAATCTAAAGGTTTAATGGAATGAAGATTTTCCTTTTTCTTCAATTTGAAACAACAACGCTTGTACTTTGGAGCTTGAGAGTCAAAGGTTAAATGGTTTAGGGGTGTTATTTTCATTCGCAGGAGGACATTTTGTTCTTTTTTTATTTCACATTATTTATGTGAGGAACAAATTGTCTATTCAGCATGAAGGTAATCGCTAAATCGACTAATAAAAGAAAACTAAAGCGTGTTTTCATGATATGCCTATCGTTTGAAGTGACATGTTTATTCTATTGTTTCGTTCACGCTAAATTTCTGATGCAACAATAAATTTTATCTCACTGTCTGTTAGAGGGGGATGATAACCAATGACATGGGAAATGACGCTAAGTTTGGGAAATGGTCAGATTTTGGTATTATGTTTCAAAAGATAGCAATTTGCAGATACACTGCCAATGACTTCTCTCCTCTTAATCGGTCGTGTACACCTCATGCAAACGTGGCTCCTGCCTCCTTTTCTTGCGTATAGACGTTTGCAAAGAAAATAGAAGTTGGATAACAGCCAATCAGGAAACGGCGCCCCTTGCACATTTACTTGAAATAGAGCAACCAATTATTAACGATATTTTTACTTGAAAACCTATTTTTTCCCGTAGCTTGTCGTTTACGACAGGTGGTCGCATATGGAGGTTCGGCTGTATTTTGCAAATCAAGCGTGAAAAAAAAATCGAGCATTCAAGGTCTATATCACCTCAAATTCCTTATTACTTTCGGTTGTACAGCATACAGAGCCAGGTTCCTGATCATGACAGAGCTGCAATACTCGTCACAAATCTTGAAACACTTGCGTGATTTTCTCCTTCTCTGATGTTGATTTGGGTACTACAGTCGTCTCAGTGCTCCAATTAGTACGCGTGGCTCAACATTGGGGAAGGAAAGGAGCCAATTGAGTGAGAAAAAAGGTGAGAAGAGTGAATGTAAGAAATTTGGAGAAAATTCAAGAAAAACAGCTTCTGTTTCAACGATTTGTGACGAGTATTGTAGATTGTGGTATACTGGCCGGGTACATTCGTCAGGGTCTGCCAGGGTTTTGGGGTATACAGTATATTGGGGTGTTTAATTTCAGGTATACAGTATTTTTATGCTTAAATTTGGGTATAAAGTATTCCGTCACGACCACTTGTTGTATAAAGTATACCATGTTTTTCTTAATTTTGGTATTTTACACGAGTTTTAGTATAATGTTTTGGTATTTTGGAAGGTATATTTCGGGTATTTTGGTATTCCAACGGCCCCCCCCCCTTCCCCCCTGGCTGACCCTAATTCGTTATATACCGTAAAATTCCGAGGGGCCCTTTTTGAAGGGCTTATATTCAGAGGGGCTTATATACGGCTAAGGTTATACTTGGAAGGAAATTTGCGTCTTTAAATCGATTGGGCTAGCTTGTAGTTGGAAGGAAATTTATGTCAGCAATTTGCGAAAGGTTTCACCGAAACCCGCTTTGAGGACGTAGACCTAGCCAAGAGTGAAGAGTGAACTACGCAAACAGCAATAAACTGTGACACTTTCTGACTTCAGTCATTTGGCACGCGTAATAGTTATTTGGCAAATACAACAATTGATATGTTACTGTACCGTTATTGCTTTGTTTTACTTTGTATTTCCAAGCATAAGCGCCCGGGGGTTTATATTCGGAGGGGCGATTTAACGGAGGGGTTTTTGCGTTACGAGTTTAAGGGGGTTTATATTTGGAGGGGCTTATTTTCGGAATTTTACGGTAATTACCACCTTATTACGTCCCAAACAGCCAAACCAGTATTACGTTAGCTTTATGCAAACTCGTTTCTGTCCTCCCGCGTTTATAACTTTAGGAGACTCTTTGTCACCAGATAGACCAGAAACACGTGCTAAATATGAGACCGTCTTTTTGTGCCTCAATATTTAAATGACCTAAATCTGAATAAAGAAGCGGGCCATGGTATGCGGCTAATAAGAGGTAGTTCTATAGCTAAAGTCCACGTCTCCTTTAAAAAAGGGCAACTTCAGACGAGTGGAATGCCATCCAGACCTTGATCCAGACCTTCAGATAAGGGGGGCCGGTCATCCAGACCCAGAGATGGGGGAGGATCTCAAAAAAATTTTTTTCGGCCCTTCGGGTTTCAGTTTAGTCGAAAAAATATAGGGGAGGCCCCCTCCCTTGAATCTTTCACTGCAATGCTTGTCTTTTTGTACAACATAGTTATACAAAGTATATGACAAACTTTTTCCCACGTGCACTTTAGTAAGCAATTAATTAAAAAATTATTGATGTTTCTCAGAACTTCACTAACTTTGAAATTTAGCAGCTCTGTCTTGAGTTTGATAAACATTAAACAGTAACACTCTTGTTCACTTTAGGTGTGCAACCTAGCATGGTCAAAGCATTCTAATGAACTGGTGAGTTTTCCATTGTTTTCCTTTTTTCTTGTTTTTTGTTTTTTTTTTTACTGGGAGATGTTTTTGGTTTTGTTCCAAGATATCATTGCTTTGGTTTTTCATTATAGGCTAAAATGCTCATGTATGTGTATTAAAGTGTCAGCCACATTTATTCCGGGTCAGCACACATGGTGATTCCCAGAATCAGATACTTGTATGGAAATATCCCTCCCTTACTCAAGTAGCAAAGTTAACAGGACATTCCTATAGAGTTTTATACTTGGTAAGTGAAATCATCAGGGTTTTTTCAAGATTCACAGAAACTGCTTTTTTATTTGAAATGAATCTTAAGGTTGTAATTACAGCATGTTCATAGAATTTGCTCGCAGATTGAGATTTTCCCAAGCTACAAATAAATAATGTATTGTACTTTTCCAGTTCTTTGAGGCTACATAATTGGATTGTGTGAATTTCAGGTCACCTTTGTGATAAAAACAAATTGTATATTTACCCAGAGCTGTCATTAAGGGCCGTGGGCTGGGGACTTCCCCCAGCTACTATGAATGTGGTCTCCAGCTACTTCCATAGGACAACAGAAGAAAAATAGAACCAAAAGAAATCCTTAGCTGTTTGATTCTCCGCCTACTTGTCGTATTTGCCNAGGCTACATAATTGGATTGTGTGAATTTCAGGTCACCTTTGTGATAAAAACAAATTGTATATTTACCCAGAGCTGTCATTAAGGGCCGTGGGCTGGGGACTTCCCCCAGCTACTATGAATGTGGTCTCCAGCTACTTCCATAGGACAACAGAAGAAAAATAGAACCAAAAGAAATCCTTAGCTGTTTGATTCTCCGCCTACTTGTCGTATTTGCCCGGCAACTTGAAATCTTGGTGGCAACCCTGATTTACCAGTGGAAAATACCCCTACCTGGCCATGTGCCAACCTAACATTTAAAATCATATATATGACACTTGAATTTGGCATTAATTTATATCTTTAATACCCTGGTAGATGTAATTTACTTTGTAAATAGTTAAACCCTACCCACTTCAATCAGAAAACAAAGCAGTGAGAACTCAAATACTCAACTATATCAATTATATGTAATATTTTTTGTAGACTACGAGTAGTCCCCATTTTTCCTCAGGGATAGTAGAGCGAATGAAAAACAAGGATGAACCTCTTAGATTTTAGAATGTATTCAACAAAGCTCGCTCTCACAAGGTATTATTTCCTACAGTTAATATGTTGCTTTGTCTTAAAAGGGTTATGTCATGGCGAGCGCCAAAATGTTTTGGTTAAAGCTGAGCTGAGATTGTAACTGTTGTTGTGTTCTTAACTCTAAAGGGAAGGGAAAGCTAAGCATGATCAGTGTTGGTCATTAACTTGAAAAATTTGGCCCCGTTCTTTCAAGCTGCGATCTGATTCCATCCTGGTTATTAAATGCCAAAGACCGACATGCAGTAAAACATCATTCTGAAACAAAACTGAGCCATTCTTTCATGGATTTCCTTGATTGCAATGAGTTCTTAGGGTTTCAAAGTATACCAAAGAACCCTGACATAGTTCCTTTAATTGAGGTGTATAAATCCCAAAATCAAACCAAGTGATGTTATTGGCCACTGTCAGCAGATGCAGTCAGTGAAATGAAACAATCAGTATGCCAAGTCAGCTGGCTGCAGTTTCCCGTGCTTTAATACAAAGACATCTTTGATGTCATTGGCCAATCACAATAGATGCAGAAAGTCAAATGAACCAATCAGAATACCAAGTCAGCTGGCTAAATTTTCCCACGTTTTGATTCAAGGACATCTTCATAGCCAAGTGCGGCAAAAGTCAGTTATTTTTGTTTACAGGAGCTCTGATAAATCGAAAAAGTGATCAATATTTTATTCATTCACAAGCAACTTAAAGTAACACATCTTTCCTTATTCTACAAGTCCCTATTTCTATCTGTCCAAAATAAATAATTTCCTTTATTTTCTTCAACAGGAATCAAAGTCAGAGCTCAATCTGTTCTCAAGAATAAGATAATACTACTAAAACTAATTAATTACATCGTACGGTCATTTAAAAATTGTTATTTTAAATTGCCAGTCAACAAGTAACATGAAACTGTTGAGAGGATGCACATAACCAAGATTTACAACATATATTAGAGTGTATATATTACCTTTTAAATGTACAGCTAATACTTTAAGCATAGCAGCGTATACTACATTGCTAAACCACATTATAATAACTTTTCCTTTCTTAAGATGTTGATCGATTAATGATTAATCAGATAAGGGTAATAGCACCATTTTAAGACACAACAAAATAAAAAAGATACTAGAACATTGTATTACTTGTGGATAAGGTTATTGATTGCTGTGTTCATTGGTGGTGCGAAATTTCTGTTATAAATCCAGGTGTAGTTAATCGATAAACTGATAATCAATAATTCGAAATCGATAAAGAGAAAAAGTTGTGACTTCGATTAATCTCAATTTCCGATAGAAGTTGATAATGATAGCTGTATTGATTGTTATCGATTATTATAGGGAAAGACTTAAGTCATTCGGTACAAGTTCAACATTGCTATCATTGAGTCATTCAATCATGATATTATGCAGTTTCTTAATAACTGATGAAATACTTAAAAGACTTGTGTGCACAGTGAAAAAACAGCTTTCACCGACCAAATACAACCCCTTATGCCAAAAGATGGCGGCATTCTGGAGGTCTTCAATGCCCGTGTATATAAAGTAAAAACCCACATATAAGAACCTAAGTTTTTCCAAGCTAGGCTAAGAAGGTTCTAATAAAAATGGTGCTAACTGGAAAATTAGGGTACTCAGGTTCTTAAACAGGTTCTTATTTTTAAAAATAAATAAGGTGTTTGTCATTGGTGGGTGTGGCCTGTTTGGGGCCTATTATGACAAGCATTTTTATGCCATTTATGAAGTTTATACATTTTCCTAACTGGTAGAGCTTGTTCTATGAAATGTGTGTATTCAGTTCTTGACTGAATGTTTCAAAATTGTAGGCTAAAACAGGTTCTTATGTAAAAGGGGTCTAAATAGACAATCTTAGCCTAACAGGTTCTTAAAATCTAGGTTCCCATTCGCGGGTTGTAACTGTACCGTATTGAACTGGATTCCAATGTGAGCAAGATTGCAAGGAAAGAAATGCAAGATGCAGTCGATGGCACAGGATTGAATGGACATGTAAAGATCTTTTAAAACAAACCAGGAAATGAAAGAGAGAAAAAATGTAAGGTGATGAAGAGTAGTCGCTGAACTGAAGCCGGTCTTGTGGGTGTTGTTTGCCAAATAGCATGGTCATGTTCAGAATATCTGAACCTTATTCATGTGCTCCTCAAGATTATCTGGCTTGTTATCGATTACCTTTGATTTTTATCAATTTTTTTAATCGATAATAATCAATAAAATTATTTTTTCTGTAACTTCAATTTTTATTGATTGCCAGTATCAATAATATTGATAACAATCGGCGGATTAAGGTGGCTCGTCTGGACTTTTTAGGGAGGATACCTCTCAAGTTTGTGTATTAACTACATCGGCATGAGTAAAGATATGGGAAAAAGGTTACCTCAACTGCATTATATAAAGATGAAAATTTCTTATGATCTTGGTTTTTTTGCAATTGGAGTCACCATGGCAACATAACGATGCCATTACATTTTTATTTATCTTTGTGTTTCTCTATACTAGGAGTTTTTTAAAGAAATCACTTAAGGGAGTTTGTAGTTGCCATAATTGCCCCAATTATGGCAAAGTTTGAACAAATTCTGTGAGAGCGTTTTCGAAATATTTTGAAACGAAGGTTTAAGAATCACAAAAACAGTTAAATAGCATGCTATCCACACAATCAGCTATTAAATTAAGAACATGATAAGCTTAGGAAATGCGACTTCATCTCATATTGGTTGATTCCATTGAAAACTGCGTACAAAAAAAGAGGAAAATTGCTCTGAGCAGAATTTTATTGACTTGCATTCAGCTGCGTTTGTTACAGTTTTTGCAGGTAATTTGGTCCATTCCTACAAATTTTGCAGTATTCAAAAAACCACTCGATAAATTTCTTTATAAATTTGGAAATCCTGAGATCAATTGTCACAAAAATTACACCCTGCAAGTTTCAGGAACATTGAATAGAGGGAGGCTTTTAAATAGGGCCTCAAAAAAATTGGTTATATTAATACAAAATCTGGCAGAAAAATTGGTTATATCAAATTTTGATATAACCAATTTTTCTGCCAGATTTTGTATTTACGAGTGAGCGTCTCATTATTCACTGGCATTGTTTTCAAGTTTCATATGCACGTGCCCATTTAGCAAAAAGATAAAATTTGCATCAAAAAGGACCCTCGGTTAAATCTCCAGAATATGCTAATAACTGGGTAAGAAATTAGTGATATATTATAATATCACAGCAACTATTTGTAAGAGTTTCTGTGTTGTTATTACCTGCGTAAGATTAAGTTCTGCATCCTAAACGATGAGCAGAGACATTCACCATTTTGGTTCAAACTGCTATCTGTGACACGAGCCAATAATTTATTAGCATATTCCGAATGTTTCTTCGAAAAGTAATCGAGAGTTCTTTTTTATGCAAATTTATTTCTTTTGTTAGTTGTGCAGGTTACGTTGGATGATGGCGTTGTTACATTGCCATGGTGATTCCGATTGCAATAAAACCCAGATTATAGGAAATTTTCATCTTTATATAATACAGTTGTGGTAACCTTTTTTCCATATCTTTACTTATGCCGACGTAGTTAATGTTCAAACTTGGGAGGTATCCCTCCAAAAAAATCCAGTCGAGCCACGTTAAATCGATTGATTTCCAATTTCGATTTCTAGTTGATTAACTACGCCTGGCAAAGTTTTAACATTCCAAACCCAAATCCTGCGACCACACCCCCCCCCCTTCCCCCCTGAAAAAAAGGATGGGATTGGATTAGATTTGTGATTTCCGGCCCAAGCCATTTTATGGTTGTGACAGGAAGGGAAACAGCCTGCTACCCTGTTCTGTTGAGTTTCACAGGGCTCGGCGAAAAAAGGTCCCATCCAGTAGTCTGGGCAAGTAGATTCTCTTGCTGGCCAAGTAACTATTTTTTCAGCTTACCTGCCCAATGGACAAAGTTCCAGGCAAGTCATCCTATAACAAAATCATTAAGATGAGCAAGAAGTAGCCCTGGGTTAGCAAAATGTGAGAGCTGCTTGCCCAGAGGACAAGCTGGAATTCTAGGTTTCTTTTTTTCCAAGCCCTGTTTGAGACATCTTTCTGCTTGCAGTCTCTTTACTGCTCGCCTCATTCAGTACCTTCAGTCCAATGGGATGTCATCCTCAAGTTCCTCATTCTTGTACAGCTCATCAATAATCTCTTTTACGGAACATTTCATCTCTGTCAAAACGAGTTCCTGTTCGTCTTCATCTAAGCTATTGTCTATGACTTTAGGCAAATCCTTTATCATGCCAAGACAAACCCTCTCTACAGTCTTTCGTCCGACTCGTTCTGTATTTCCTTTCTTTAACGGAGAGAATAACATCAGTTCCGACTGTAGTTGGTTGAATGGACTATTCATTTGTTCTTGTTCTTGTTCTTGGGCAGGTGAAGAACGCTCACCTTGTGTAACCAGGATCAATTCCTCTGCAACTTTCACTGGGTTGTCCATAATCTGTTCTACTTTCTGTGTCAGCGATTCCAGAATCGCTAGATCTTCGATGTAATCAATGCCAAACAAATTGTATGACCGTACAAAGTAATGCGGCAAATGCCTTTCCCTGAGAGCTTCCAGTAGGTTCGCAAATAGTTTCCACATACACTCCGCTCTCCTGCTTTCGATCCACATCTCGCCACCGGTTTCCTCAATCGTGCGCAGAAAAATGTTCTTCAGGTGATATGATATTAGACCCTTTGCCTCTGTAGAAAGATACACACGATGATATGTCTTTAGGCAACGGTAACAGAGTGCGACTTAAAGTAAATAGAGGACCGAATTGTTCATAAGACGTACTCTTTTCCTCTAAGATTTCAGCGTAAGTGGGTTGCCACCGTTTTTTGGAGCTTTTACGACCAAGTGAAATCCCTCCCGAATAACTTGATCAACTACGTCAGGTGAAGGCCATTTCCGCTGTCTCTTCCTCCATTCCTGAGCAACCATGGGCCATGTTAAGCATCGAAACGCAGGGATAAACTCAATAAGCATCTTTGCCTTGCTTAAGAAGCTGTCAATGCGCTTGGAAAAGTAATCATTTTCATCTTCACTCGACAAACATGGACAGTCTACGATGGATCTTTCTTCTCCCCCTTTACAGTAGTGTTTGTGAAGTGTAAGTTTGAATTTGTTTAGGAATTTTCTCACATATGACTGCAAGTCTGATGTAATTTTTATAGCTGGACCGGTCATGTTGTTTTTCACTGAAAGAGAAAGACCTGGCATTGCGACAAATGTAGCTGGCAACACGTCGTCGGGGTTATTGGTGATGCTTACGGGACCAAAAATCGCTGGATGGAAATTCTTTATCGCTGAAGTCGTTACGTACTCCGTGTTTTCCGCAAGACAGGACTGCAAAACGGGGTGACCTGTTCCTCTTATTCTGACGTGCAGTGGATTAGAAGGGAAACAGTATTCGATCAGTTCGTCATCGATCCAGCGCCGTAGCTAGTATGAGGCCAACCGAGGCACTCACCTCGGTAAAATTTTGACGAATTTCGCCTTTTTATTTTACATAAGCGATCATCGGATATTTTTAACGCATCATGATATTACAAAGAATTCAGCAATTCAGTCAATATACTATGAAAAAATTACCATACCATCGATCTCAAGGGGCTACGTACGTTAACTCAAATTTTTTTTGAACAAATACTGATCAAAACCATTGGCGAGGTTAACGGTCACCCAGATTCTGTAGCTTGTTTCTGATTATTGCTTTTTAAATTCCACTTAAATTAACTCGAAAAAAAGTTACCGAAAGGCCCAGAAAACGCTGCAAATCGCATTTCCGAGAGACTAAAGTTCAAAACTTCTCGGGGGGGGCATACCCCCGAACCCCCCTAGCAACTCTCGCCTGCCTCGGTTGGCCGTTTGGTCTGGCTACGGCACTGCGATCATTAACTCATCTGCAGTCGGGAAGACCACAACATCTAAATCCGGGAAAAAATCTGCATGTAAATCTTCAGCGGAGCTTCCATACAGTTGCAACCTGACCTGTTGTTGTTTACGACTAAGGTCCTCAGTCATCATCTCGAAGAATTCTTCTGCCAAGGAACTCTGCCATGAAAATGCGCCTAACCTCTTCTTGTCGTCAACTTCGGCTGCTAAACACTCGTACAAATGACTAAGGTGCTGATTTTCTGAATCTTCACTAAAAGCCATTCGTCGTAGAATGAGCAACAGACAAAAGTGCTCCCTTGCCTCATCGATCGGACCTAGCAACTTCTTTGACCGCTTGACTCACAGGTGACCCATTCGAAATAGTATAGGGATATGTATGAGGTAAAACCTATCGTTTCTGTAACCTACGAAAATGAAAGGATGTCGTAAGCTGTTTTTATTGAAATCCTTTCATTTTCGTAGGTTACAGAAACGAAAGGTTTTTCCCCATACAAATCCTTATATTTCGAATGTTACGCAATGATGCCGATTTCTCGCCGATGCTCACATTTCGAGCTTGGGATACCTGTGCCTGACTATCTATACATGGCCGCGCGGGGACACGAAATTTCTCTTCGAGTGTTGAAAAATATTTCACGAGCGAGCGCAGCGAACGAGTAAAATATTTTTCTCAACACGTTTTGTTGCGTAACATTCGAAAAATAAGGATTTGTATGGGGAAAAACCTATCGTTTCTGTGACCTACGAAAATGAAAGGATATCAATAAAAACAGCTCACGAAATCCTTTCATTTTCGTAGGTTACAGAAACGATAGGTTTTTTCCCCATACAAATCCGTATATTTCGTTAATTATATAAACACCAATGAAATGCCAAATAGTTTTTTGGTCTAAAAGGTGCGATTTATTATGAAGCCATAGCAACGGTGATATTTTCACATGTGCAGATACGTAACATGTTATTTTCACATGTGAAGATCTATCAAGTTTTCGCGCGAAAGCTCACTTGGTATTTCATTGGTGTTTATATAATAAACAGTGGAAACATGCTTATTGAGATTTGGCAGCAGGGATGATATTTGACGAAGAGTTCTTTTCAACCTCGTCTCCAGGGACGAGGTTGAGTTCTTTTACAATAAAACTGCAAACATTTTTCCAGTGCTTTATTGTGACGACCAAACTTTTTGCTAATCTAAAAATATATGGAATGAAAATTTCCTTTTTTCTTCAATTTCAATACAACCACACTTGTACTTTGGAGCTTGCGAGTCAAAGGTTAAGAGGTGTTATTTTCATTCGCAGGATGAATGAACACTTTTCATCTATTAATTTAACATTATCTATAAGAGGAACAGATTTTCTACGACTCAGCATAAAAGTGATCCCTAAATCCACGTAAAGAAAACTAAAGGGTGTTTACATGATATGCCTATCGTTCGAAGTGACATGTTTCTTCTAACAGCATCTAAATATTGTTTCGTTAGCGCTAAATTCCTGATGCAACTAGAAATTTTATCTCACTGTTTGTTAGAGGAGGGTGATCACTAATGACACGGGAAATGACACTTTTTTGCGTTGCATTCTGGGAATAAATGAAAAGAGACCATCACGTATCCTGCGAGCAAGCTCTCTTGGGGCGAGGAACACAAGCAAACATGTTCCCTCCCCACTAGAGCTCCCCGGGAGCTTGCTCGCGCAAGCTGACCACCATCACCGGCGTACTTTGTGAATGGTCAGACTTTGGTATTATGTTTCAAGAGATAGCAATTTTATCGATATACTGCCAATAACTTCTCTCCTTTTTACCTCTTAATCGGTCGTATACATCTTATGCAAACGTGGCTCCTGTCTCCTTTTCTTGCGAATAGATGTTGCAGAGAAAATACAAGCAGTTGGATAACAACTGCTTTGTCACGAAAGTAAATTTAAAGTAAAGTTAAGTAAGTAAAGTTTTAACGGTCATCAAAACGCAAAGTAGAGCCTCTCGACTTTGCGAAGACTTAGTGGTCGCTTCAGAGATTATCGCTTAGTTAGGAGGATACGAATCATAGGGGATCTCTCCCGAGAAGGGTTGAGGAAACATCTACTTTTTTGGACAGTATTTACTGCCTCGAAGTTAGGATATGCTTAGTTCCATCTTACTTAAAATGTTTGATATATTGTCAGTAGCAAAGAAGCATACATTGATCAAAGTGGCCAGACTAACCGTCAAGTGATCGCTTTAAAGAGGTTTTCCGGACAATAGGTAATATTTAAAACAGCCATCTTAAAACGAGAGGTTCCAGTAGTACGGGTCAGTAAGGCAGGGAATGTTTTTTTTTTAAAAGGTGGTCGCTAATGGGCGGCGGTCGCTTACGCACATGGAGGTTCGACTGTATTTTACCAATCAAACGTGAAGAAAAATCGAATATTCAAGGTCTATATCACCTCAAATTCCTTATTTCTTTCAGTTATACAGCATACAGAGCTAGATTGTGGTACTAATACCGGCCGGGTACATTCTTTACATAATTACCACCTAACTACGTTCTTTAGATGTATTACGTTATCTACGGCCGTTGTATACCTGCCAACTATTTCTGAGTCAAATGCGTGAGGTTTTCGTCCTGTCAGGACGGGATTTTCTGAAAATTCCCGACGATTTTCCGAAGATGTTCCGACGACCCGGATCCGTGAGTCAGGATCTGTGAGTCAGGCGTGAGAAATTGTTCTTGATGCGTGAGATCGATGTCTTAAGTCTGCAGGCGTGAGACTCACGTATTATACGGGAGAGTTGGCAGGTATATATGCCAACAACTGGCTTCTGTCCTCACGTTTGGTTTGGGAGACTCTTATAAAAAAAATTCCGGAAATTTTGGTTGGCAATTTTCGGTCGGTAAGAACGGTATGTGTCATTTACCATTTGCCTAAAATTTCCGGATTGCCGCGCCCCGCTAGACTGGATTCTAGTTACAACATGAAACTAGTGCGAAACTCAAGAAACTTGTAAATGGTATTACGAATTTCCATTCGGAACGTCCCAATCGGGAAAACGGGACTACCTTTTCAGAATTTCCGTTTGTCCCGGGGATTTCCCGGTGGGACGAACGAGAAAAAGGTTTACCATTTACATCCCAACCGAAATTTCCGAGAATTTGTGGTAAAAGGTAAACAACCTTTGTCACCCGATACACCAGAAACACGTGCTAAATATGAGATCATCTTTTTGGGCCTCAATAAATGACCTACATCTGAATTAAAGAAGCAGGACATGGTATGCGACTAATAATAGGTAGTTCTTCTGCAAAAGTCCACGTCTCTTACAAAAAAAAGGTCACTTCAATTCAGTCTAGTGGAATGCCATCCAGATCTGGTTCTTGTGTCTCTGCATGCCTGGACTCCAGACACTCAAAAACCCTCAGAGCGAGCTGTATCCCTGAGTCAGCAGGGATCACGTGACTTAAATCGAAAGGATCTTCAGCAGAAGGATCAAGTAATCTTGTGGCTATGATGTCTTCGTTTCCTGGTTTACAATCAGGCTGCTTCAAAATGTATTTCCACATTTCAACTAGCCCTTGCATTCCATGAAGTATTCGACGTCTTATGTTCGGGTCAGTGTCGAACCAAACCTTGTGATAAATTGAGTCCCACATCGTTTGAAACATTCTGCGGTACTCTTCAGCATTTACTCCTTGGGAGCTTGCAATTTCCTTCAGGTCTTCTACTAAGGACTTTTCCAAAGGGTCGAGAGTTTCTCCCTGCCAATCATCATCACTGAATACCTTGTCGATCACCTCTTCGCAAACGGTGAAGAAATTGTCTTTGAGGTCATGATAGCGATACCATTTTTCCTTATCGTAAGACGGCGTAGAGAGAGCCGCGTCTTCCCTTGCATTGTGGTCTTGGTTGATGGGACGCCGTGCCAGCTCGTTTCTTGCAATACTTTCTTCCTTTTTAACCTGTCCTGTTGTCTTTGGGTTTTGCTCTTGAATCAAAGCTTTGGCAAATTGTATAGGGCTCTTCATGATCTGTTCAACTTTCTGTGCCAAAGAGTCAAGAACCTCAGGCCTTTCAATGTAATCACCACAAAAGAGGTTGTAGGATCTCACAAAGAAGTGTGGCAAAACTTTCTTTGTCATTGCCTGCAAGAGGTTCTCAAAGAGTTTCAACATACACTTCCCTCTGTTGGCTTCGGTCCACATCTCTGTTCCAGTTTCTTCAATTGTTTGTAGAAAAAGGTTCTTTAGATGAAATGTCACCAAACTCTTAGGCTGAGTAGAAAGTAACGCTCGATAATGTCTCTTCAGGCATCGATAGCATTCGCGCTGAATGCTGTTTAACTCTTGGCTAAGCAGGTATTCTGCATGGGCAAATGAGATTCGGAAGTCGCATTCTCTGTTGCCATTTTTTGGAGGCTTCACTACCAAGTGATACCCTTCTTGAAGGATTTTGTGGACCACATCAGGAAAAGGCCATTTACGTTCTCTCTTGATCCATTCTCGCGCTACCTTGGGCCACCCGTTACATCGGAAAGCGGGTACAAAATCGAATCCGCCAATTCGCTTGTATCTCTGTGCTTTTTCAGTGAAGCAAGCCTCCTCCTCTTTTTCTGTTACTTGGCTAAAAACATGTTTAAACCAGCGGTTATATATCTCTCGTTGCGTTAAGGTATTTCTCTCTAATTTCCCTGCAGATTGATCTGGATGCACCGACCACTCTGATAGACCCCGTTCTGTTGACTCATTCTGAGCAAGTGCATTCTCTTCCGTTGTTTCATTGGTTTCTTTGTTGTCGGGCCTTTCAGAAGAGGGAAACTTAACTTGTGAGACATTTTCCTCCCCACTTCTTCCCTCACTTTCTCGGAAATGTTTTGCTGTGACATTTTGATGAGTCACGTCATCCAATGTAGCTTCCGCCGACAAATCTTTCTTTCTTTCGGTCTCACTTCCTGATCGGCTTTCCGCATCTCGAATTCGGGCTCTGATTTCCCAAGTCCTGTCGCTGGAGACAATCTCTTGTATCATAGTGCGGAAAAATTTGGGATCCCCACTCAAGCCACGTTCTCTAACAGAAACGTTCAAGTCTTTAAAAAGTTTTAGAAGATCATTTACAGCTTCGACGTGTTCCCTGGTGTAGTCTACTCCTCTCTCGTCACAAAACCATTGGGCGAAAAACTCCAAAACGCTTGCGTCAAGAGTGGGACGATTTTTGTCGTCTTTCATCTGCTCTAATTCTTCCAACATAGAGCCAAATGATTGGGCGAAGTTTAAGGTAATAGCGGGGCTGGTCGTTTTGTTTTTTAATTCGCAAGTGAATTGTAAAGCAGGTGTAAACTCCCGTCGCGATATTACCTGAATCATGTTACTAACGAAGTCGACTATGTGAGGCGATGCGCTTCCATAAATTGCTGGATGAAAATTCTTTAATGCCGAGGTGGCCACGTATTCAGTGTCTTCTACAAGGCAGGATTGCAACACAGGGTGTCCGGCTCCCTTAATTCTGACGTGCATCACATTATCTGGTAAATATTCGATCAGTTCTTCGTCGATCGCTAAGTTATCTGCAGTCGGAAATATGACAATATCCACGTCTCCTAAGTCGTTGGGGTCTTGACATTTTAAATCTTCGGCAGCGCTTCCATATGGTCGAAACATGACGCGATTCTCAGTTGTTTTGCCCAGAATCTTTGATAGGTTTTCAAGAATAAAGCTTGTAACATTTTCTGCGTATTCCTTCCACTTTTCACCTTCGCTATCTAATTCTCCCAGAGACTTGTAAATCAAGTTTAGATCCTGAGGATTTGAATCCTGCTCTTGGGTGCCTTTCGCCGCCATTATTCAAAGCACAAATGTTAAGCAAAGTGAAACCATTAAGAGTTTACAACCACTAAAAACAGGGAAATTTCAAAGAACTGGCACTTTCGGTTTCTTAGAACATTTCCGGGTTTGTCAATGATCTCTCGGGCAATCAAGCGTGATGACGTTTCAAAACGAAAACGTCATGCTTGTTTTAAATCGTAAGTGACACATTTTTATTTTTTTTCATCCCTTTTTTAGGGATCACCTTTTTTGAAGCCACGAACACTGGGGGTAATGTTTCTGATATTTTTACATCTTTCAAAACCCTGAGAAGTCAAACATGTCTCACCAAAGGAGTCCCAGTTCCGTCTTTGACTACGCAAACGTTCAAAGTGTACTGGCTGCAGGGCTCACTGCCGTCAGTTTCAAAAAAACAAACAGATTACTCTCGTTAGCTCTGGTTACAGTTTTGTTCGAGGAATCTGCAGATTTCTTTACATAAGCTTTATCCAAACCACTAGACCAATAACAGCAACTTTTACTCAAGTTTAATCACAGAATTTAGACGAAAAAGGGACTTTCCCCTGACATGCAGTTGCATAGGATAGACTGAAAAGTTGTTTAGAGCGATACAGTCACCTTATTTTTCAATTTAAACCTTGTTTCCTATGATTTGTTTAAGTTAAGTATACAAAAGTACTAAAATCTCAGAAAAAATTAGTGGATTATGCCAACACTGCCAATGTTGAATTTATTGTTGACCCGAAGGTTTTATTCCATGGTTGATGAATTTACAGCTATTTGCACATAAGTTGATGAAGTGACTTGCAAGGGGAGTGTCCAGATTGGTTCTTTAACAACATTATGACCTGATCATATTGCTTGCATAGACGATACAGAATGTCCCGGTAGAGAAACAGCATTTTGATTAATAAACATGCGCTGAACCGTGAAAAACTTTGCTTTATGTCTAAATGATAGAGATGACGAAGTACAACCTCGTCCCCAGTGCTTTTCCCTTCAAAAATGGGTGGGCCTTTTCCCGCCCCACCCATTTTTCAAGGGAAAAGCCCTGGGGACGAGGTTGGACGAAGTAAAGGATTCTAGAAAAAACGTCAACTGCTTTGTACCTAGGGTTTCTCAGGCCTCTTGGTCAACGGTTAGCCAACATTTTCCGAGGAGACTCATATAAGGACACTTTAATTTAAAAAATAAGACTGTTTTGAGTGATTGTCATAAAATGTTACTTCCAAATACTAACTCAGTTTTCTTTTAGTAAGTTTCAGCTTAACTTGGTCCAAACGTCTAACAATATTAGCTTCCTTTTGAGTTTACTTTCGAAGGGAAAGCTCATTTTTTTGCTTTCTTTCTCCTCCGAAGAATTAGAAATATAAAAGTGGTTGAAGAAATGGTAAAGAAAATCCTCCTTAGGTGTCTTAAAACAAATACGTTCTACTGTTTGGTTTGCTTGAGACATCTTAAGGTATATGTTTTATTTTCTTTTATATAAGCACTTGGGTAAATTCAATTTAGTTGCTCGTATTTCACCTAACTTTGTGACTTGAAATCTCAGTTATATCAGTTGTCCTTAAGTCTACAATATGATTAATTTATATAAGGCTCATGATAAACTTGCTATCCATCGCAATGAGCATGTCAATCTAATGGCATATCGTTGGCTTCTGATTTAGCTTGATGTGACTCTAGTTTGAAGCACAATCTACTAAAAATTTGTTCCACTGGTTTTACAGGCATTAGATGACTCACATCGAAAGGATCTTCAGCATCAGGATTAAGTAATCTGCTGATCAGAGCTTGTTCATTCCCTGGTCCAAAGTCGTCCTGCCTCAACAAATACTTATACAGTTCAATCACACCCGTAATGCCAAGAAGCACGCGGCGCCTTTTTATTGGTTCATTGCTAAACCAAACCTTCCAGGAGACCACCAGCCACGCATTGTCGAACATTTTATACATTGTATCGATATGGACTTTGTGTTTTTTTCTCATTTCCCTAAGATCGTACACTAGGGTTTTTTCCTGAGGGTCAAGAGATTCAATCAGCCCGTTGCTTTCATCCTCGTTGAAGGCTTTATCGGTTAACTCTTTGCTGATGGCCAGGTACTCCTCCCTTAGCTCGTGGAGTCGGTAGACTTTTGATGGACCATTTCCTTGAGGACTCTCTTTCCGCTGCTCTCTCTGGGTAGTGCCTGCGGTGAATGGAGACTTCTTGACCTTCCCACAAGGCTCTTGGCTAGCTGTGGTAGTTTCGGGTTGGATAGGCGGTGTTTGCTTGTTAGCTGGTACGCGTGGTTGCTTTACAACATGTCTTGGATTTTCGTTTGGCGTGGCCTGAATCAACTTCTTTGCCATTTGTATTGGATTCTCCAAGAGCTGTACAACTATATCCGCTACTGATTCCAGAATCTCAGGGTTTGTTATGTAGTCAACGCAAAATAAGTTGTAAGATCCTACAAAAAAATGTCTCAAATCTTTCTTTTCTAGGGCTTTTAGTAGGTTTGCAAGGACCTTCTTCATGCACTCGGCTCTGTTTTCGTCGGTCCACATTTCAGTGCCTGTTTCTTCTAGTGTTCGCAGAAAAAGATTCTTTAGGTGGAATGACACTAAACCTTTTTGGGTAGTTTGAAGATAAGCCCGATGATATTTCTTCAGGCAACGATAGCATTCACGCTGTACGTTGTTCATCTCTTGGCTTAAGAGATACTCAGCATGACCAAACGATAATCTAAAGTCGCGATCTTTCTTGACATTCGTCTTTGAAGGCTTTACCACCAAATGAAACCCTTCCTGGACAATTTTGTCTACCACGTCTTGGGACGGCCATTTACGTTCTCTTGCCGTCCATTCTTGCGCAACTTTTGGCCATCCTGGGGATTTCAAAGCAGGCACAAAGTCAACACCGCCCTCTACCTTAAGATTTTCCACTTCATTGGTGTCTATGAGTTGTCTTTTCTGTAAGGAATCCTCGATTTCTTCGGTTATTCTTCCAACTGGATTTCTTACTGAGGGGCAGGGTTTAACTGTGCATTCCTCGAGTATGGCTCTCTCTTCTTGATTACCAGTTGCATTGTGCGGTGGGTGCTTTTTATAAATAAGCTCTTCTCTTCTTAGAAACGGCCAGTAAATTGTTCGGATCTTCTTTTTGAGCAGCCTGTCCGCCCTGTTTCGTGTCGCTACTGTTGGTCATTTCCACTCCTGCTCGGGCACCCACAATGTTTTTGACTTTGAATTTCGACCAGTTATCCGGTGGAGTAACTGCTGCCAGTTTGCTTGTAACAGATTCGACGTCGGCTGTGCGTCGCCTGAATTTATCTGAATTTTGTGGTGTTGATGCATTCTCATTTATCGACGTCTGCTGCGAGTGCTGGGATTTGTCACTTTCGCTTCCTTGCACAGCATTACACTGATCATACATAGCTTCATCGTCGGAACAATGTCTTTCCATGGCCCCTTCCTCTCTAGGCTGTGACAGACTTCCGTTTTCGATAATACGGCCTTTGAGGTCACCGTGCCAAAAGCTTTTCTGGAAAAGCTCTGTAAATATTCCCGGAATAATGTTTGCACCTTTTTCATTCCAAACCATTTCAGAATCATTTGCTAAGCCTGTAAGTTCGTTTGCAACTTCACTATACGCCCTGGCAAAGTCCAATTCTCTTGCAGTACACATGCGAAGGACCATCGACTCCAGTGAAGTAGAGTCAAAATTAGCAACGTCATGTGGATCTTTTAGCGACTGGAAACATTCCGATAAAGTATCAAACGCTTTCTCAAAGTTAACGGTTAAAGCGGGACTGGTAATGCTGTTTTTCACATGGCAACATACTCACTGCCTTCTAGGAGGCAGGACTGTAGTACGGGGTGGTCTGTCCCTTTGATTCTTACGTGCATCGGATTCTCTGAATATTCGATCATGTCTTCATGAACCATCAAGTTTTCAGAACAAGGAAAGATCACGACATCTACGTCTCCTATATCACTGGGTTGTACGCACTTTAAATCTTCAGCGGCACTTCCATATGGCTGAAACCTGGTTGCGTTTTGATCCGAGTGCCGCTTTAGAACGTGAAACAAGACATTTTCAGTGTATTCCTTCAGTTGCCTTCCCGTTTCACTTTGTTGCCCAATAGACCTCAAAATTGAATTAAACTCTTTGTTTTCCATGTCGTCCTCATTCGTACACAGGCGATATACAAAATGATAAGGGTTACTTGAAGGAAACATGTAGCATCTGGTCTTTCAGTTTTTAGAGTGTTTTTAGATTATTGCCAAGTGCTCGCCCACAGTTAGCTTTGTCTAAGATGAAATACGTATAGTAAAAATAGTTAGAAAGTAAAAACGGAGTTTCAGAGAAAAGTTTTCGAAATAGGAGGCTTTTAGGTTCTGAAAGCTTAGTAGTATCAGTAGGAGATATTTAAGAATTTTTACCTTCGGTTTCCAAAGCCACATTTCAAACGTTATTCCGAAACGTGACCGTTAACCCCCTGGATCAAGACGGGCAATGAGATGGCGCTTTTGAAGGAATACAAAAGTGTGAAATGCTCACGTTTTCTGATCATAGTCATTTCTTTTATCTGGTAGGCCATTAATTGACTGACTTCACACTGTGTTAATTAAGACTATTTTGTCAAAATGTTTTTGGAAAAGAGGAACTGACAAACAGAACATGTAAGAAATAATTACGCGGGATGACGTAGTCAGCCAGCGTCATAAAACGCATTCCTTTGGTATTTTTCTTGGAAGTCAAAAAGTGCCTTGTTTTATTTAACCTCCCCGTATCCCGTGCCCGTCCCGAAAAATTGTGTAATTTTTTTTTTTTTGGCTGCAACTTCGAATCAAGTGTAAGTCAGGTTGGATTGCACAAGCAGAAAAAAGATACTGCGTCAGCAAGGGATGGAAAAGTACGCTTACCGCGTAGATGAGGACAAAGTCAAGGCTGTGTTCTACGGCGCCCGGTCGCCTGAGGCGACCAAGACTTGGCCTCGGGCGACTGAAAATATAGTCCAGGTAATCCAGCCTGGCGACATGCTGGTGTTGATTTCTTGATTTAAAGTCAAAAAGCTAGAATTTATTACTTGCGATTTCGTAGCTCGTTCGGCCGCGTGGCGGCCTAGAAAGAACGTTCCGCTCGCTAAGAATCTCGCAAGGTCAACTTGTACGTAATATATCCATCAAAAAGGTTTTCAAAAGAAAATGTTTTTTACAGATCGTTCCACTTAAATCCACATGTAACATAATCCTTGACTATGAAAGTGACGGACTGCACATTTTTCAATTTTAACAGCTTTTCGAAATAGCATTAAAACTTTTTCTTCAAATTTGTATGGTTCATTGGTTAGTTTTTCAAAAGCAATTGTTACTTCTACTTGCGAAACAAAAAACACTATCATCATTGGATATCTTCTTTTAGCCTGCGTAGCAGGTGTTTGGAAGTAGTGGGCACAAGAAAAAACGGGCACGCGAGAAGGAGACACGCGAGGGGAGAGGTAGCTCCCTCACCCCTCGCGTGTCTCCCTCGCGCGTGCCCCTTCTCTCTTTCGCCCACTACTTCCAAGCGCTTGCTACGCAGGCTAAACTGGCCTCCAAGCGAAAACATACGCCTCTCGAAAAGAATGAGGGGATGCGCTAAAAAGGAAAAAAACGTCACAGGGAAATTACAGTCCAACTTCTATGTGCGACCAGCTCTCGTAAGCGACCGCCAATCCAAAACACCAAAACGTTCCCAGTCAAGGCCTTACATTTGAAATCTGTAGTAAACGACCACCTACTGTAAGCTATCTGCTGTCGGAAATATGACAGTAGGCTGATTTAGCAACAGAACGAGAACGTCAGTTGACGACGGCGCGCGCAAACTAAACAACTGGCTTGACCAATGGCAGAGCGGCAAATTGGGCACTGGAAGTCGTGTTTAGTCCTTTCCGCGCGCTTTCTCGTAGTCAAATGACGTTCCTGTCCTGTTGCTAAATTAGCCTAATATCCACGTCTCCAACGTCGTTAGGGTCTTGACATTTTAAATCTTCGGCAGCGCTTCCATAAGGTCGAAACATAACGCGATTCTGAGTTGTTTTGCCTAAAATCTTTGATAGGTTATCAAGAATAATGCTTGTGACATTTTCAGTGTATTCTTTGCACCTTTAACCTTCGCTATATAATTCTCCCAGAGACTTGTAAAGCAAGTTTAGATCCTGAGGATTTGAATCCTGCTCTTGGGTGCTTTTTGCCGCCATTATGCAAAGCACAAATGTTAAGCAAGTGAAACGCTAGAGAAATTACAACCACTAAAAGAGGGAAATTTCAAAGAACTGGAACTTTCGGTTTCTTAGAATATTTCCGGGGTTGCCAATAATCACACGGCCAATCAAGCGTGATGTTGACAGAAACAAGAAAACGTGATGCTTGTTTTAAGGATGTAACGCATATCAGGGATCGCCCCCCCCCCGGAGAGCTTGCTTGGGTTAATATTTTGCTGGGTATGTTTCGCTGACCTCTCAGAATCCCTACCTTATTAGAGTCTATTCTGTAGCCAGATTATACACCCCCTACCTGAATTTTCCGACACCCAAACTCCTGAAAATGTGCGAACCCATTCTAGTAACGACCTCACATGGAATAGTCATGTGGACTACACTGTTAACCCTTTAAGCCCTAAGAGTGATGAGCGTCAAATTTCCCCTTCCAACATCAATGCTTTGTAAAACAGAGTGGTCAAGAGAATTACGGACATGATCATCACACAAGATGAATCTAATTGATACTTCAACAAATTCTCCCCACTACTTATATTGAAAACGTATACGGATAACAAACGAGAATTTGAATTTTGATGTTAGGGTTTAAAGGGTTAAGAAAGCCTGTAAGAAATGATATTCCCTAAGGGTACTGCGTAGAGCGGTTGTTAGCAAAGCTAGCATTCTGAAAGTATATCTTACTACGATAAGACCAGTTTTAGAATACGCTATGCCCGTATGGCAATCTATCCTAGACTACTTAGCTGATGTAATAGAGTCAGTGCAAAAAAGGGCACTTAAGATAGTTTTCCTGCGGAGGAATCCAGAGGCCCTGGGTCAAGCACACTTGCCAATACTGCAAGAGAGAAGAAAAGACTTATGCTATAAATATGTGGAAAAGATGAAATCTAGAGACCATCCTGTATTTAAATTGTTTCCTGGGCCTGTTGCAGGTATTTGTAATTACAAGCTCAGAAAGAACTCTCCGAGAAATTCCTTCTATTTAATGCCTCAATTACTTGTAGGACCAAGTGGGCAGATTCATTTTTACATTTAGATCTTTTAAGTAAACTTTTACAAGTAATATTATTATTATTATTCATATTTGGAAATATCTAGGTAAATTAGTAGTATTTTTATAGTACATCTTGAAATTAGTCTTGTAAATCTTTAAGCTCACCAATAAACTTGTATAATAAATAACTGTTATAAAAATGCAACCCCGTAATAGTAAATCCAGTCGTGCAAATGCGACCCCATCCAGCTGCACATATCCATTAGCCTAGCCCCCTGTTTTCGAAGCCGGGAACGATGGTCAAGGAATTTAACACTTTCAAAGCGCTGTGTGGAATATGTCTCAGCAAAGCCATTGAGTTTCTTCTTGGAGGGTTCTATAATGTTCTATGTTTTTAGTTTCACCGCGGCAGGATTAGGTCAGTCGGTATAGCGCTTAAATACAGAGCGGGAGGTCGCAGGTTCGTTTCCTGGGATCGGACCAATACTCAAGGTCTTAAAATGACTGAGAAATGTAGGTACTACCGTTGCCCTGCAAATGGCTAGACCTTCGCGTTGCTCGGATGACCATGTAAAATGGCGGTCCTGTCTCCAGCAGAAGACTCAAGAGATAGTGTCCCCAATTTGTACTTTCGTGCTAAATACATTGACACTCAAATAAAGTGCTTTTTTCAATGCCGGCAAAAGGAATAGTGTTCTCTCGTTACACGACTAATTCTAATGTCTGTTCCAGGAACTTGCAAATTTCTGTACGTGGTTTTATCCACAAGATAAATGGCAATACTAACTCGAATGAAAAATGTAGAAAACCTGAAAGGGACTCTCTCCTCACAGTTGCCGCATAGAATGGACTTAAGAGCAATACATTCATCTTACTTCTTATTCATCAATCCTGTTTTCAATGATTAACTGTATGAAGTTATTCAATCTTTTTATTATAGCTCCTGTGACGATCAAAACAGTAAATCTCTCGAGATCTATTTGGCGCACTTGCACACTGCTGGCTGTTTGACCAGCGGGTAGCCTTTTTACAGACCTCCCACTCCCGTCAGGAAAAATCGGAGAACGGGCCCCTTCTCCGATTTTTCCTGAGGGGAGGTTGGTCTGTACACTGGCTTCTAGTGAGGAGCTACATACTGATCAAGGGAGACCCCTGGTGTCTCAATAAAAACGATTTGTTTATTAGTTGCATGGAAAATGCCTTTTTTGTACTAGTAACGCGACGTTCTAGTCATGTATTTCAACTTGAACTGCCCAAAACTTGAGAGATTAGAGTACATGACCTTTTCTTGAGTTAATTTTCTACGAAAAAGTTCATTTTTTAAATTTATTTTCTTCTGAATAGTGAAGGATCTTTGACCCACCTAGTACCTGAAGAAGGTATAATGACAATGGCCTCCTTAAACATTCACAATAAATAACTGCTACTGTCAGGTTTGTTTGAGGAATCTTAGTAAATCTTAGTATCTAAACAACTCGTTGACATGCACTTTAGTCACGTTCATATTTTGTCTTAACTTTCTTTTGGCTTGATGTGTCGAGTACGTCTGCTTAATTTACATAACAAGGTGATGACGTCAGTCTAGTAGAATAATGTCATCCTGAATAACCTTTGGAGCCTGAGCCGGCCTGACCTTCTCACCGTGAAAAAGTTTTCGAATAAACTGAGACCCTAAACCAGCAGGCAAGATGTGGCTCAAGTCGAAAGAATCCTTGGAAGAAGGATCAAGCATTCGTTGAATGATAGCTTCTTCATTTCCAGTTGCAAAGTCCTCTTGCTTTAGTACATACTTGCACAATTCAAGGACGCTCTTAATCCCATCAAGGATACAACTCCTAATGTTCGGTTCTGGGCGGAACAGCATTTTGAAGTAAGCTGTGTTCCAGCACATGTCAAACATTTTAGGGAAGTCGGCAACTTGAATGATATGGTACTTTTCAATTTCTCGCAGATCTTCTATTATGGACTTCTCCAGAGAATGAAGACTTTGGAGACTGCAATGAGGGTTATTAAAAGCCAAATCAGTCATCTCCTTGCTAGTAGACAGAAAAATGTCTTTTAGGTCGTGATAACGGAAACTAGTAATCGCACTACTCTCTTGATTTATTCCTTCTTTACATTCTTTCTTGGTGCCTTTGCAGGAAACTTCTTGATGGATATCACTTTGACCTTGTGTAGTGAAAGCTGGCATGCAGTTTTGTTCTTTTTTCGTCTGTTCGGAATTTTGTCTCTGGGTCAATTTTCTTACAAACTGCATCGGATTTTCATTGATCTTCTCACATATTCCAACCAAGGGCTCCAGAATATTGGGGTCTGCGATGTAGTCTACACTGAACAGGTTATAAGATCTCACAAAGAAGTGTCGCAAATCTTTCTTTCTCAGAGCTTCCAAAAGGTTTCGAAACAACTTCATCATACACTCTACTCTGTTGCTTTGCGTCCAAATTTCAGTACCAGTCTCTTCAACTGTTTGCAGAAAGAGGTTCTTCAGGTGAAACGACACCAAACTCTTGGGTTTTGTGGAAAGATAGGCTCGATGAAATTTTTTTAGGCACCAGTAACACTCACGCTGGACTTCGTTTAACTCTCTGCTTAAGAGGTATTCTGCATTTGCAAATGATATTCTGAAATCGCATTCTAGATTACCCTCATTCTTTGGCGCTTTAACGACCAGATGAAAACCCTCCTGGAGAATTTGGTCGATTACCTCCTGTGAAGGCCACTTGCGTTCTCTTGTGATCCATTCTTGCGCAACCATGGGCCATCCTGGAGCTTTAAATGCTGGAACGAAGTCGAATCCACCTTCTTGATGATCCGAACACTTTTCAAAGTCTGTGACTTTGGTGGCTTCCTTAATGGAATGTTCTCCTAGTTCAGTTATGGATCCAAACAGGTGATCGAAAAAGAGGTTTTGTATTCGCTTTTCACGTGCTTCCGCTTCACCTTGAGAGGGACTTTGATACTTCTGCATTGTCAATAGCTGCTCTTTTTCGGACGAAATATGGTTTTCAACGAAGTCCCCACTACGTTTTGTCTCGCTCCTTTCGTCTATCGCATCACAGTCACTGTTTCCGGAGTGATTCCTCATGTCGGAGTGAAACTCTGTAGCATTTGTTTGTGATCCCTTGCAATGTTCTGTCTTGACACACGGCAATTCACAGGATGAGCATGTCCTCTGAAATAAGTTTGCGTTATTTTCTTTTCTTTGTTGCTCGCCCGACAAGACATGTTGCTTTTCGCCAATTTTTCGAAATTCCATGTTCTTCTTCCTCCGGGTCTCATAATCATGTGGTTGGTTCTTAGAAATGCTTTGAAATCGAGCTTGAAGGGTTTTGGCTCTGTCGCTCTGATAAAACTCAATAAAAACCGGCAGCATTTCTGAAACAGTGTTCAGACGTTTGTTATCAAGATACATACCTACTTCATTCATAAACTGAGTAATATCGTCAATAATCTTGGCATGTTCTTTGGTATAAACAGTTCCGGTAAGATTACAAAAGACATGTACCAGCCATTCCCATTCTTCTGTGTCAACATGAGGCGAGGCATCACTCGGTTGTTTATTTAACGACCGGGTAAAATTGACAGTAATAGCAGGACTGGCTTCCTTGTCTTTTAAATAGGAGGTACTTTGTAGAAGGGATGACCGTTCTGGAGTCAACATTATCTGTTGATGAGCACGGGTGGTAATATCTACTATGTAAGGCGCTGAACGTCCATAAATTGCCGGGTGAAACTTCTTTAAAGCCGAGGTGGCTACGTACTCTTTGTCTTCTACAAGGCAGGACTTTAGAACAGGGTGATCAGCTCCTTTGATTCTGACGTGCATTGGATTCTCCGGTAAATATTCAATAAATCCCTCGTGGATCATCAAATTGTCTGAATCAGGATATATCACAATATCCACATCTCCCACATCATCTGGCTCAATGCACTTTAAATCTTCAGCAGCGCTTCCATATGGACGAAAAAGTATGCCGTTTTCCGACCTTTTTTCTAGAAGTTTTGAAAGTTGCTTTAGAAAATAAAATAAGACAGTTTGGGTATGCTCCCTCCATTTTCGAGCATCGTTTCCTTGTTCCCCGAGAGACTCAAATTGTAAGCTTTGTTCCTGTGTTTTTTCATCGTACTCTGCCCAAGCCATTATATCGTTCAAACTATCGCATGGACGAGTGTGCTGAGTTTTATGACATCTGAGCCTCTAAAATAGAATATTTCGCCGCCATTGTGACAAGCATTAATGCGAAACAGAGTGAAATTCTTAAGAATCTACAACCACTAAAAGAGGGAAATTTCTAAGAACTGGAACTTCCGGTTTCTTAGAATGTTTCAGGGTTTGTCAATAATCGCTTGGCTAATCAAGCGTGATGTTGACAGAAAAATGAAAACGTCATGCATTTTCGAAAAATGTAACGGATATCAGGGATCGCAATCAGTCTTCGAAGCCGGAGGGCACCTAGTAATAGGCTAATGGGGATGTGCCGCTGGATGGAGTCGCATTTTTACGACTGGATTGACTACTGGATTACATTTTCTATAGCGTTACTAGAATGGGATCGCACATTTTCAGGATTTTGGAGGCAAGAATATCCCGGTAATTAGGGATTTCAAACCGTGAGGATTTTTACTACATTACTAACAAATGCGACAATTTATTTCAGGATGACTTTGATAAAAGGCTTTATAAGGTAGATGCACAAACAGAAAGCGACTAACTTGGGATCGCGAAAACTACATTTACCCGAGAGTGACAGATACGGGGTGTATAATTGGCCACAGAATTGGCTATAATGGGGTAGAGCTTGTGAGAGACTAGCGGCACATAACCAGCAAAAACTTACTCAAATAACCCCATGGGTTTTCGAAGCCAGAAACGATGGAAGAGCAATTATTTCCTTCAAAAGCCTGTGAGGAATATGTCTCAGTAAAGCCATTAGGTTCCGTCTTGGAGGGTTCTATAATGTTCTATGTTTTTAGTTTCAATGCGGGAAAAAGGAATAGTATTCTCTCGTTACACGACTAATTCTAATGTTTGTTCCACGAACTTGAAAAATACTGTGGTCCGTGGTTTTATCCATAAGATAAATGGCAATACTAACTCTAATAAAAAAAATTAGACAACCTGAAAGGGACTCTCTCCTCACAGTTGCCACATAGAATGGACTTAAGAGAAATACAGTCTCCTTACTTCTTATTCATTCAATCCTGTTTTCAATGATTTATTGTATGTAGTTCTTCAATCTTCATATTACAGTTCCTGTGACGATCAAAACAGTAAATCATTCGAGATCTATTTGGCGCACCTGTGCACTGCTGGCTATTCAAGCTCATCATTTGGTCACTAACTCAGAAATGTCTCATAAACTCTGTTGCTTTGCGTCCAAATTTCAGTACCAGTCTCTTCAACTGTTTGCAGAAAGAGGTTCTTCAGGTGAAACGACACCAAACTCTTGGGTTTTGTGGAAAGATAGGCTCGATGAAATTTTTTTAGGCACCAGTAACACTCACGCTGGACTTCGTTTAACTCTCTGCTTAAGAGGTATTCTGCATTTGCAAATGATATTCTGAAATCGCATTCTAGATTACCCTCATTCTTTGGCGCTTTAACGACCAGATGAAAACCCTCCTGGAGAATTTGGTCGATTACCTCCTGTGAAGGCCACTTGCGTTCTCTTGTGATCCATTCTTGCGCAACCATGGGCCATCCTGGAGCTTTAAATGCTGGAACGAAGTCGAATCCACCTTCTTGATGATCCGAACACTTTTCAAAGTCTGTGACTTTGGTGGCTTCCTTAATGGAATGTTCTCCTAGTTCAGTTATGGATCCAAACAGGTGATCGAAAAAGAGGTTTTGTATTCGCTTTTCACGTGCTTCCGCTTCACCTTGAGAGGGACTTTGATACTTCTGCATTGTCAATAGCTGCTCTTTTTCGGACGAAATATGGTTTTCAACGAAGTCCCCACTACGTTTTGTCTCGCTCCTTTCGTCTATCGCATCACAGTCACTGTTTCCGGAGTGATTCCTCATGTCGGAGTGAAACTCTGTAGCATTTGTTTGTGATCCCTTGCAATGTTCTGTCTTGACACACGGCAATTCACAGGATGAGCATGTCCTCTGAAATAAGTTTGCGTTATTTTCTTTTCTTTGTTGCTCGCCCGACAAGACATGTTGCTTTTCGCCAATTTTTCGAAATTCCATGTTCTTCTTCCTCCGGGTCTCATAATCATGTGGTTGGTTCTTAGAAATGCTTTGAAATCGAGCTTGAAGGGTTTTGGCTCTGTCGCTCTGATAAAACTCAATAAAAACCGGCAGCATTTCTGAAACAGTGTTCAGACGTTTGTTATCAAGATACATACCTACTTCATTCATAAACTGAGTAATATCGTCAATAATCTTGGCATGTTCTTTGGTATAAACAGTTCCGGTAAGATTACAAAAGACATGTACCAGCCATTCCCATTCTTCTGTGTCAACATGAGGCGAGGCATCACTCGGTTGTTTATTTAACGACCGGGTAAAATTGACAGTAATAGCAGGACTGGCTTCCTTGTCTTTTAAATAGGAGGTACTTTGTAGAAGGGATGACCGTTCTGGAGTCAACATTATCTGTTGATGAGCACGGGTGGTAATATCTACTATGTAAGGCGCTGAACGTCCATAAATTGCCGGGTGAAACTTCTTTAAAGCCGAGGTGGCTACGTACTCTTTGTCTTCTACAAGGCAGGACTTTAGAACAGGGTGATCAGCTCCTTTGATTCTGACGTGCATTGGATTCTCCGGTAAATATTCAATAAATCCCTCGTGGATCATCAAATTGTCTGAATCAGGATATATCACAATATCCACATCTCCCACATCATCTGGCTCAATGCACTTTAAATCTTCAGCAGCGCTTCCATATGGACGAAAAAGTATGCCGTTTTCCGACCTTTTTTCTAGAAGTTTTGAAAGTTGCTTTAGAAAATAAAATAAGACAGTTTGGGTATGCTCCCTCCATTTTCGAGCATCGTTTCCTTGTTCCCCGAGAGACTCAAATTGTAAGCTTTGTTCCTGTGTTTTTTCATCGTACTCTGCCCAAGCCATTATATCGTTCAAACTATCGCATGGACGAGTGTGCTGAGTTTTATGACATCTGAGCCTCTAAAATAGAATATTTCGCCGCCATTGTGACAAGCATTAATGCGAAACAGAGTGAAATTCTTAAGAATCTACAACCACTAAAAGAGGGAAATTTCTAAGAACTGGAACTTCCGGTTTCTTAGAATGTTTCAGGGTTTGTCAATAATCGCTTGGCTAATCAAGCGTGATGTTGACAGAAAAATGAAAACGTCATGCATTTTCGAAAAATGTAACGGATATCAGGGATCGCAATCAGTCTTCGAAGCCGGAGGGCACCTAGTAATAGGCTAATGGGGATGTGCCGCTGGATGGAGTCGCATTTTTACGACTGGATTGACTACTGGATTACATTTTCTATAGCGTTACTAGAATGGGATCGCACATTTTCAGGATTTTGGAGGCAAGAATATCCCGGTAATTAGGGATTTCAAACCGTGAGGATTTTTACTACATTACTAACAAATGCGACAATTTATTTCAGGATGACTTTGATAAAAGGCTTTATAAGGTAGATGCACAAACAGAAAGCGACTAACTTGGGATCGCGAAAACTACATTTACCCGAGAGTGACAGATACGGGGTGTATAATTGGCCACAGAATTGGCTATAATGGGGTAGAGCTTGTGAGAGACTAGCGGCACATAACCAGCAAAAACTTACTCAAATAACCCCATGGGTTTTCGAAGCCAGAAACGATGGAAGAGCAATTATTTCCTTCAAAAGCCTGTGAGGAATATGTCTCAGTAAAGCCATTAGGTTCCGTCTTGGAGGGTTCTATAATGTTCTATGTTTTTAGTTTCAATGCGGGAAAAAGGAATAGTATTCTCTCGTTACACGACTAATTCTAATGTTTGTTCCACGAACTTGAAAAATACTGTGGTCCGTGGTTTTATCCATAAGATAAATGGCAATACTAACTCTAATAAAAAAAATTAGACAACCTGAAAGGGACTCTCTCCTCACAGTTGCCACATAGAATGGACTTAAGAGAAATACAGTCTCCTTACTTCTTATTCATTCAATCCTGTTTTCAATGATTTATTGTATGTAGTTCTTCAATCTTCATATTACAGTTCCTGTGACGATCAAAACAGTAAATCATTCGAGATCTATTTGGCGCACCTGTGCACTGCTGGCTATTCAAGCTCATCATTTGGTCACTAACTCAGAAATGTCTCATACTTCCCTTTTTTGTTCATTCTACTATATTCAAGACTTGATTATAGAAGTGAATTTTGAAGACTCTGAAAACATCTTGCATCCTTTTGCATCATTAATACAGTTGCGTCAACTATTTCTACCCAGCATCCTTAGGCCTTTGACCAGCGGGTAACCTGTGTACAGACCGCCCCGCCTCCTTTTTTTGAGTATATTTTCTACGAAAAAGCTCATTTTGAAAATATTTTTTCTTCTGTAGTGAATAGTTTTAAGGATTTTTGACCTACTTACTACCTGAAGAAGCTATAATGACAATGGCCTCCTTAAACATTCACAATAAATAACTGCTACTGTCAGGTTTGTTTGAGGAATATTAGCAAATCTTAGTATATAAGCAACTCGTTGACATCCACTTTAGTCACTTTATCTTAACTTTCTTTTGGCTTGATTTGTTGAGAATGTCTGCTTAATTTACATAACAAGGTGATGACGTCAGTCTATTGGAATGTCCTCCTGAATAACCTTTGGAGCCTGAGCCGGCCTGACCTTCTCACCGCCAAAAATTATTTGAATGAGAGAGGTGAATTCTCGAAACCGTGAACTACCAGGCACGATGTGGCTAAACAAGTCGAAAAAATCCTTGTAAGAAGGATCAAGTATTCGTTGAATGATAGCTTCTTTACTTCCAGTTGCAAAGTCCTCTTGCTTTAGTACATACTTGCACCATTCGAGGACGCTCTTAATCCCATCAAGGATACAACTCCTAATGTTCGGTTCTTCGCTGAACAGAATTTTCAAGTAAGCGGTGTTCCAGCAAATGTCAAACATTTTAGGAAAGTCAGCAACTTGAATGATATGGTACTTTTCAATTTCTCGCAGATCTTCTATTATGGAGTTCTCCAGAGAATGAAGACTTTGAAGACTGCAACGAGGGTCTCTAAAAGCCAAATCAGTCATCTCCTTGCTAGTAGACAGAAAAATGTCTTTTAGGTCGTGGTAACGAAAACTAGTAATCAAACTACTCTCTTGATTTATTCCTTCTTTACATTCTTTCTCAGTGCCTTTGCAGGAAACTTCTTCATGGACATCACTTTGACCTTTGGTAGTGAGAGCTGGAATGCAGTTTTGTTCTTTTTTCGTCTGTTCGGAATTTTGTCTCTGGGTCAATTTTGTCACAAACTGCATGCCTAAAAGTAACTAGAAGAGTGTATAAAGTTGGTTCCCGAGGTCTTATAACTCCAGAAGCTACATCAGATGTGACTTGTCCAACATTCTAGAGTGTTTCTTCACAGCGTTTAGAGAGTTTCTTAGAGCTTCCAAAAGGTTTCGAAACAACTTCATCATGCACTCTACTCTGTTGTTTTGCGTCCAAATTTCAGCACCAGTCTCTTCAACTGTTTGCAGAAAGAGGTTCTTCAGGTGAAACGACACCAAACTCTTGGGTTTTGTGGAAAGATAAGCTCGATGAAATTTTTTTAGGCAGCGGTAACACTCGCGCTGGACTTCATTTAACTCTCTGCTTAACAGGAACTCTGCATTTGCAAAAGATATTCTGAAATCGCGTTCTAGATTGCCACCATTCTTTGGCGCTTTTACAACCAGATGAAAACCCTCCTGGAGAATTTGGTCGATTACCTTTTGAGAAGGCCACTTGCGTTTTCTTCCTATCCATTCTTGCGCAACCATGGGCCATCCTGGAGCTTTAAATGCTGGAACAATGTCGACACCACCTTCCGCATGATCCAAAGACTTTTCAAAGTCTGTGACGTTCTCGGCTTCCTTAATGGCATCCTCTCTTGCTTCAGTTATGGATTCCGCAATCACGGGATCGAAAAAAGGGTTCAGTATTCGCTTTCCACGTGCCTTCTTCCGCTGTGAGTCATGGGAGGGACTTTCTTCCTTCTGCATTACAAATAGCTGTTCTTTCTGAGACAAAATATGGCTTTCAACGAGGTCTCCACTGTTTTTTGTCTCGCTTCTGTCGTCCAACACGTCAGGGTTTCCCGTCGAGCGATTCCTCAGGTCGGAATTAAACTCTCCAGTATTTGTATGAGCTTTCTTGCCATCACAGGATAAAAATGTCCTCTGAAACAAGTTTGCGTTTTTTTCTCTACTTTGTTGCTCGCCTTTTACTTCCTTCTTTGTCTGGGTTTTATAATCATACGGTTGACTCTTAGAAATACTTTGAAACCGTGCTTGAAGGGTTTTTGCCCTGTAGCTCTGATATAGCTCAAGGAAACCCGGCAGTATTTCCGAAGAAGTGATTAGACGTTTGCTATCAAGATACATGTATAATTCATTAGTAAGCTGACTAATATCGTTAATAACCTTGGCATGCTCTTCCGTTCCTGTAAGTTTACAAAAGCTGTGTGCCATACTTTTTAATCCTTCTTTGTAAACACGAAACAAGTTATTCGGTTGTCTGTTTAACGGCCGGGAAAAACTGAAAGTTAAAGCAGGACTGGCTTCCTTGTTTTTTAATTGGTAGGTGCTTTGTAGAAGAGATGACGGTTCGAATTCTGGTGTCGCCATCATCATCAGTGGCCCAGCGGTAGCAAAGATGATCATATCCACTACGCTAGTCATTGAACACCCATAAATTGCCGGATGGAACGTTTTTAACACTGAGGTGGCCACGTACTCTGTGTCTTCTACAAGGCAGGACTTTAGAACGGGGTGATCTGCTCCTTTGATTCTGACGTGCATTGGATTCTCCGGTAAATATTCGATCAATTCCTCATGGATCATCAAATTACTTGAATCAGGATATATCACAATATCCACATCTCCCACATCATCTGGCTCAATGCACTTTAAACCTTCAGCAACGCTTCCATATGGTCGAAAAAGTATGCCGTTTTCCGTATCTTTTACTAGACCTTTGTAAAATTGCTTTAGAAAGTAAAACACGACCATTTGGTCATTCACCCTCCTTTTTTGAGCATCGTTTTGTTCTCCGAGAGATTCAAATTGTAAGCTTAGTTCCTGTGTTTTTTCATCGTATCCTGCCGAAGCCATTATATCGTTCAAACTATCGCGTGGACGAGTGTGCTGAGTTTTCTGGGCCTCTAAAATAGACAATTTCAAGGGATTCGAAGTTTCAGTTTCTAAGACAATTTTTTTTAAGCAAAACTATCCTTTGGCTTGTTAGCCTGCGAAAACATCCGTTTCTCCTCCCTCTACGCCCCTGGGAAACGTCCCCAGTGGCGAAGAGCGAGGATGTTTTCGCAGGCTATTGGCTTATCGGGTTGTTAATGATGTTTCCATTTTAAAAAATGAAAATTGTTTAATCGTTTCGTCATTGATAGAAAATATAGGATAGGTTAGAAATGTTATTTATGCAATGAACCTAAAATATTCCCTTTTTGAAAGAATATTCCGATGAATAACCCCTGGAGTCATGTTACCTCTTTATCGATATCTTTCTCTCAAACACACGATATTTTTTTGGTGGTGACAAGATTTTATTTCCAAGCCGGCTACAGATCGGAGCTGAAGACTCGTGGTGGGTTACAGTCTTCAGGAGTGGCAGGCGTTTAACCCTTTTAAAAGTCTTAAGAGTACGTGACCAACATTAATTTTCTCCCAAAAATATCCAAACATAATTAAAAGAAAAGTTTATGAGAATATATAAAATGATCACCTTAGGGAAAATGCTTTGATCCTTGGACAAATTCTCCAAACTAATTCTGTAAGGAAATGTATGGAGATCAGTTTGGAGAATTTGTATGTGGATATTGGGGCTTAAAGCCATGCGTAGATCGTTGCTTTAGCAAATACAAACTGGCGTCTCCCAGCTGAGTTGCCACGTAGTCATGCAACCACGCCTTTGCCGTTCAATAAGTTCGAAGGTTATGGTGTTAACAGCACGCCTGTCCAATTTCCGACCCTAGCGATTCTAAATTTGACTTTGAGTTTGGCGTGAAAATTTCTGAACGGCTAGGCGTGTTATTGTTTCTACGGTCAACGTGTTCGCGTGAGCTAATTATACTCTCTTGGTGTGAACGGTTAAGGAGTCTTCAATATATAAGGGAACTTCACCCTTGATGCGTTTGTATGCCACACGACATTTAGCTATTTTCACTTCTTCATAAAAAGGAAACCACTGTAGACTATTAAAAAGCTTGACACTAGACGCCACTAGTGGTTGTAGATTCTTAAGAGTTTCACTCTGTTTAGCATGTATGCTTTTCACAATGGCAGCGAAAGGCACCCAAAAAGATGCAAAAACACAGGATCAATACCTGATTTACAAGTCTCTGGGAAAATTAGGTAGCGAAGGTATTTATATTATGGTCTAACCCACCATGCGCGCGCACCTTAGAGGCTCACTTCTATAAGGCACCAGACGAAATTTTCGACCTGTCAAAAATTTAGGCGCTCAGCTGTAGACTCAACAGTCAGCAACATAGTCGTGTACTAGATATAGTGATATAAATTTTATTTGCCCAAAATTCAACCGGGTGACCGAGGGCAGTAGGACGTTCGCAGTTTCTACTTGCCAACACTGGAACAGCTTAAGTCTAGAACTTAGAAATACAGTATCACTAGAATCCTTTAAGAATAATTATCGAAATATCTTATTTCAAGAGCAGCAGGAATTACACTATTTCATAGTTTAATCATATTCTGGTATATATTTCACTAGCCATATCATTAGCTCTTATGCTCATTCATGTTGATGTAGAACTTCTATATTTCCTTAGTTTTATTTATTTTGTACTTAGACTTTGTATATTCGGAATCTCATGTTTTTTGTGATTTTAATTTAGATAGAGGGCCACAAGTTTACTAGTTTCTGTAACTATTCCGTGCTACCCTCTTTAAATAAAGTGTATTATTATTATTATTATTATTATTATTACTAAAAGAGGGAAATTTCTAAGAACTGGAACTTCCGGTTTAATTTCTTAGCATATTTCCGGGTTTGTTAATAATCGCTCGGCCAATCAAGCGTGATGTTGACAGAAAAAAGAAAACGTCATGCATTTTCGAAGAATGTAACGCATATCAGAGATCGCAATCTGTTTTCGAAGCCGGGGGGGGCACCTAGTAATAGGCTAATGGGGATGTGCCGCTGAATGGAGTCGCATTTTTACGACTGGATTGACTATTGGATTGCATTTTCCATATCGTTACTAGAATGGGATCGCTCATTTTCGGGATTTTGGAGGCAAGAATATTCCGGTAATTAGGGCTTTCAAACCGTGAGGATTTTTACCACATTACTAACAAATGCGACAATTTATTTCAGGATGACCTTGATAAAAGGCTTTATAAGGTAGATGCACAAACAGAAAGTGACTAATTTGGGATCGCGAAAATTATGTTTACCCAACAGTGACAGATACGGGGTGTATAATTGGCCACAGAATTGGCTATAATGGGGTAGAGCTTGTGAGAGACTAGCGGCACATAACCAGCAAACACTTACTCAAATAACCCCCCGGGTTTTCGAAGCCAGAAACGATGGAAGAGCAATTTAAAACCTTCAAAAGCCTGTGAGGAATATGTTTCAGTAAAGCCCTTTAGGTTCCGTCTTGGAGGGTTCTATAATGTTCTATGTTTTTAGTTTCAATGCGGGCAAAAGGAATAGTATTCTCTCGTTACACGACTAATTCTAATGTTTGTTCCAGCAACTTGAAAATTTCTGTACGTGGTTTTATCCACAACATAAATGGCAATACTAACTCTAATAAAAAAATTAGACAACCTGAAAGAGACTCTCTCCTCACAGTCGCCGCATAGAGTGGACTTTAGAGCAATACAGTCTCCTTACTTCTTATTCATTCAATCCTGTTTTCAATGATTTATTGTATGCACTTAGTCACTCTTCATATTACAGTTCCTGTGACGATCAAAACAGTAAATCATTCGAGATCTATTTGGCGCACCTGCGCACTGCTGGCTATTCAAGCTCATCATTTGGTCACTAACTCAGAAATGTCTCTATTAAGGGAAAAAACAAGTAAGATGATATAAGTTCTGAACTAATATCTTCACTTAAAACTTCTGAGACTTTTGTAGAAGCATCCTTTTGCATCATTAATACAGTTGCGTCAACTATTTCTACCCAGCATCGTCAGGCCTTTGACCAGCGGGTAACCTGTGTACAGACCGCCCCGCCTCCCCTCCAACTTGAACCGCCCAAAACTTAAGGGACTAGAGTACATGGCCTTTTCTTGAGTATATTTTCTACGAAAAAGCTCATTTTGAAAATATTTTTTCTTCTGTAGTGAATAGTTTTAAGGATTTTTGACCCACTTAGTACCTGAAGAAGCTATAATGACAATGGCCTCCTTAAACATTCACAATAAATAACTGCTACTGTCAGGTTTGTTTGAGGAATCTTAGTAAATCGTAGTATATAAGCAACTCGTTGACATCCACTTTAGTCACTTTATCTTACTTTTCTTTTAGCTTCATTTGTTGAGTACGTCTGCTTAATTTACATAACAAGGTGATGACGTCAGTCTAATGGAATGTCCTCCTGTATAACCTTTGAAGCCCGAGCCGGCCTAAGTCGGAGCGTAACCTTCCCACCACGAAAAATTCTTCGAATGAGAGGGATGAATCGTAACCGTGAACTAGCAGGGAAGGTGAGGATGAAAGAGTCGAAAAAATCCTCGGAAGAAGGATCAAGTATTCGTTGAATGATAGCTTCTTTATTTCCAGTTGCAAAGTCCTCTCGCTTTAGTACATACTTGCACCATTCGAGGACGCTCTTAATCCCATCAAGGATACAACTCCTAATGTTCGGTTCTTCGCTCATCCGAATTTTGAAGTAAGCTGTGTCCCAGCAGATGTCAAACACTTTAGGGAAGTCAGAAACTTGAATGATATGGTACTTTTCAATTTCTCGCAGATCTTCTATTATGGACTTCTCCAGAGAATGAAGACTTTGGAGATTGCAATGAGGGTCTTTAAAAGCCAAATTAGTCATCTCCTTGCTAGTAGACAGAAAAATGTCTTTTAGGTCGTGATAACGGAAACTAGTAATCAAACTACTCTCTTGATTTATTGCTTCTTTAAATTCTTTCTTGGTGCCTTTGCAGGAAACTTCTTGATGGACATCACTTTGACCTTGTGTAGTGAAAGCTGGCATGCAGTTTTGTTCTTTTTTCGTCTGTTCGGAATTTTGTCTCTGAGTCAATTTTCTCACAAACTGCATCGGATTTTCATTGATCTTCTCACATATTTCAACCAAGGGCTCCAGAATATTGAGGTCTTCGATGTAGTCTACACTGAACAGGTTGTAAGATCTCACAAAGAAGTGTCGCAAATCTCTCTTTCTTAGAGCTTTCAGAAGGTTTCGAAACAACTTCATCATGCACTCTACTCTGTTGCTTTGCGTCCAAATTTCAGTACCAGTCTCTTCAACTGTTTGCAGAAAGAGGTTCTTCAGGTGAAACGACACCAAACTCTTGGGTTTTGTGGAAAGATAGGCTCGATGAAATTTTTTTAGGCAGCGGTAACACTCACGCTGGACTTCGTTTAACTCTCTGCTTAACAGGAATTCTGCATTTGCAAAAGATATTCTGAAATCGCATTCTAGATTGCCACCATTCTTTGGAGCTTTTACAACCAGATGAAAACCCTGCTGGAGAATTTGGTCGATTACCTTTTGAGAAGGCCACTTGCGTTCTCTTCTGATCCATTCTTGCGCAACAATGGGCCATCCTGGAGCTTTAAATGCTGGAACAATGTCGACTCCACCTTTCGCATGATCCGAAGACTTTTCGAAGTCTGTAACGTTAGCGGCTTCCTTAAAGGAATCCTCTCTTGCTTCAGTTATGGATCCCGCAATCACGGGAGCGAAAAAGAGGTTCAGTATTGGCTTTCCAGGTGCCTTTTTCCGCTGTGAGTCATAAGACGGACTTTCTCCCGTCTGCATTGTGAATAACTGTTCTTTCTGAGACAAAATATGGCTTTCAACGAGGTCTCCATTGCTTTTCGTCTCGCTTCTGTCGTCCAACGCGTCAGGGTTTCCAGTCGAGCGATTCCTCATGTCGGTATTAAACTCTCCAGTATTTAATTGAGCTTTCTTGCCATCGCAAGATAAAAATATCCTCTGAAACAAGTTTGCGTTTTTTTCTCTACTTTGTTGCTCGTCTTTTACATCCTTATTTCTCTGGGTTTTATAATGATGTGGTTGACTCTTAGAAACGCTTCGAAACCGAGCTTGATGAATTTTTGCTCTGTACCTCTGATATAACTCAAGAAAACCCGGCAGTATTTCTGAAATAGTGATTGGACGTTTGCTATCAAAATACATATATAATTCATTAGTAAGCTGAGTAAAATCGTTAATAACCTTGGCAAGCTCTTCCGTTCCTGTAAGTTTACAATAGCCGTGTGCCATCCTTTTTAGTCCTTCTCTGTAAACATGAAACGTGTTATTCGGTTGTCTGTTTAACGGACGGGAAAAACTGAAAGTTAAAGCAGGACTGGCTTCCTTGTTTTTTAATTGGTAGGTGCTTTCTAGAAGAGATGACGGTTCTGGTGTCATCATCATCATCAGTGGCCCAGCAATAGCAAAGATGATTTTATTCAATACGTTAGACACTGAGCGCCCATAAATTGCCGGATGGAACGTTTTTAACACTGAGGTGGCCACGTACTCTTTGTCTTCTACAAGGCAGGACTTTAGAACGGGGTGATCTACTCCTTTGATTCTGACGTGCATTGGATTCTCGGGTAAATATTCGATCAATTCCTTATGGATCATCAAATTATTTGAATCAGGATATATCACAATATCCACATCTCCCACATCATCTGGCTCAATGCACTTTACATCTTCCGCAACGCTTCCATATGGTCTAAAAAGTATGTCGTTTTCCGTATCTTTTAGTAGATATTTTAAAAGTTTTGTTAGAAAGTAAAAGCAGACCATTTGTTCATGCCCGCTCGATTTTTGAGCATCGTTTTGTTCTCCGAGAGACTTAAATTGTAAGCTTAGTTCTTGTGTTTTTTCATCGTACCCTGCCGAAGCCATTATATCGGTTAAACTCTCGCATGGACGAGTGTGCTGAGTTTTATGACATCTGGGCTTCTAAAATAGAATATTTCAGGGGATTCGACATTTCAGTTTCAAAGACAATTTTTGTAAGCAAAACCACCATTAGCCGGTCGAGTTGTGAGTGTAATTTCCATTTTGAAAAATGAATTCATTGATAGAAAATGTTGGATAGGTTAGAAAGATTATTTTTGCAGTGAAACCAAAACATTCCTTTCTTGAGAGAATATTCCAGTGAATATTCCCTTGAGTCATGTGACTTTTTTATCTATCTTTTTCAAACACACGATATTTCTTTGGTAATGACAAGATTTCGGTTTCCAAGCCGGCTACCGATCGAAGCTGCAGACTCGTGGTGGGTTACAGCCTTCAGGAGTGGCAGGCGTTTAACCCTTTTAAAAGTCCCAAGAGCACGTGACCAACATCAATTTTCTCCTAACAATATCCATACATAATCAAAAGAAAACTTTATGTGAATAAATAAAATGATCACCGGAGGGAAAATGCCTTGATCTTTGAACAAATGCTCTCAACTAATTCTGTAATGAAATGTATGAAGATCAGTTTCTTGGAGAATTTTGTATGAGGATATTGGGGCTTAAAGGGTGAAAGGGAGACGGAAAATGGGGAATCACAGCACCAGACGAGTTGACTTGGGGAGACTTTGTTCACAAGAAAAGATTCAACATTTTTGCTCCGTTCACAAGAAACTGACGAAGCAGTTTAAATTTAAACGTTCCTCGGTAAATTTAAAACTTGGCTATGCGTAAAGGGCTGCTTTAGAAACACCCAGCTGGGCTGCGACGGATTCATGCACGCCACGCCTTTGCCGTGTTAACAGCACACCGGTCCAATTTCCGACCCTACCGACTTTAAATTTGACTTTGAGTTTGGCGTGAAAATTTCTGAACCGCTAGGCGTGTTAGTGTTTCTACGGTCAAGGAGTTCGCGTGAGCTGATTATACTCTCTTGGTGTGACGGAACAGCTGAGCACCTAAATTTTTGACAGGTCGAAAATTTCGTTTGGTGCCGTGTAGAAGTGAGCCTCTAAGGTGCGCGCGCATGGTGGGTTAGACCATAATATAAATACCTTCGCTACCTAATTTTCCCAGAGACTTGTAAGTTTTTGCATCTTCGTGGGTGCCTTTCGCCGCCATTGTGACAAGCATTAATGCTAAACAGAGTGAAACTCTTAAGAATCTACAACCACTAAAAGAGGGAAATTTCTAAGAACTGGAACTTCCGGTTTCTTAGAATGTTTCAGGGTTTGTCAATAATCGCTTGGCTAATCAAGCGTGATGTTGACAGAAAAATGAAAACGTCATGCATTTTCGAAAAATGTAACGCATATCAGGGATCGCAATCAGTCTTGGAAGCCGGAGGGCACCTAGTAATAGGCTAATGGGGATGTGCCGCTGGATTGAGTCGCATTTTTACGACTGGATTGACTATTGGATTGCATTTTCCATATCGTTACTAGAATGGGATCGCACATTTTCGGGATTTTGGAGACAAGAATATTCTGGTAATTAGGGATTTCAAACCGTGAGGATTTTTACTACATTACTAACAAATGCGACAATTTATTTCAGAATGACCTTGATAAAAGGCTTTATAAGGTAGATGCATAAACAGAAAGTGACTAACTTGGGATCGCGAAAATTACATTTACCCAACAGTGACAGATACGGGGTGTATAATTGGCAACAGAATTGACTATAATGGGGTAGAGGTAGAGATAACCAACAAAAACGTATTCAAATAGCCCCCCGGGTTTTCGAAGCCAGAAACGATGGAAGAGCNGAGGGAAATTTCTAAGAACTGGAACTTCCGGTTTCTTAGAATGTTTCAGGGTTTGTCAATAATCGCTTGGCTAATCAAGCGTGATGTTGACAGAAAAATGAAAACGTCATGCATTTTCGAAAAATGTAACGCATATCAGGGATCGCAATCAGTCTTGGAAGCCGGAGGGCACCTAGTAATAGGCTAATGGGGATGTGCCGCTGGATTGAGTCGCATTTTTACGACTGGATTGACTATTGGATTGCATTTTCCATATCGTTACTAGAATGGGATCGCACATTTTCGGGATTTTGGAGACAAGAATATTCTGGTAATTAGGGATTTCAAACCGTGAGGATTTTTACTACATTACTAACAAATGCGACAATTTATTTCAGAATGACCTTGATAAAAGGCTTTATAAGGTAGATGCATAAACAGAAAGTGACTAACTTGGGATCGCGAAAATTACATTTACCCAACAGTGACAGATACGGGGTGTATAATTGGCAACAGAATTGACTATAATGGGGTAGAGGTAGAGATAACCAACAAAAACGTATTCAAATAGCCCCCCGGGTTTTCGAAGCCAGAAACGATGGAAGAGCAATTTAAAACCTTCAAAATCCTTTGTGGAATATGTCTCAGTAAAGTAATTGAGTTCCGTCTTGGAGGGTTCTATAATGTTCTATGTTTTTAGTTTCAATGCGGGAAAAAGGAATAGTATTCTCTCGTTACACGACTAATTCTAATATTTGTTCCACGAACTTGAAAAATACTGTGGTCCGTGGTTTTATCCATACGATAAATGGCAATACTAACTCTAGTAAAAAAATTAGACAACCTGAAAGGGACTCTCTCCTCACAGTTGCCACATAGAATGGACTTAAGAGAAATACAGTCTCCTTACTTCTTATTCATTCAATCCTGTTTTCAATGATTTATTGTATGTAGTTATTCAATCTTCATATTACAGTTCCTGTGACGATCAAAACAGTAAATCATTCGAGATCTATTTGGCGCACCTGCGCACTGCTGGCTATTCAAGCTCATCATTTGGTCAATAACTCAGAAATGTCTCATAATTTCCTTTTTTGCTCATTCTACTATACTCAAGACTTGATTATAAAAGTGAATTTTCAGGACTCTGAAAACACCTTGTATCCTTTTGCATCATCAATACAGTTGCGTCAACTATTTCTACCCAGCATCCTCAGGCCTTTGACCAGCGGGTAACCTGTGTACAAACCGCCCCGCCTCCCCTCAAACTTGAACTGCCCAAAACTTAAGGGACTAGAGTACATGGCCTTTTCTTGAGTATATTTTCTACGAAAAAGCTCATTTTTAACATTTATTTTCTTCTGTAGTGAATAGTTTTAAGGATCTTTGACCCACTTAGTACCTGAAGAAGCTATAATGACAATGGCCTCCTTAAACATTCACAATAAATAACTGCTACAGTCAGGTTTGTTTGAGGAATCTTAGTAAATCTAATTAGTGTATAAGCAACTCCTTGACATCCACTTTAGTCACTGGACTTCGTTTAACTCTCTGCTTAACAGCTTAAGACGTAAACGTTTTCTATAAGACTTTAGCGTAAGATCTAACGGTGGTAAGAAACCTCGAAAATGTTGGTCTACTTTTGGGACGACCTCTTAAACCACGATTACCTTTTGAGAAGGCCACTTGCGTTTTCTTCCTATCCATTATTCTTGCGCAACCATGGGCCATCCTGGAGCTTTAAATGCTGGAACAATGTCGACTCCACCTTTCGCATGATTCGAAGACTTTTTAAAGTCTGTAACGCTGGCGGCTTCCTTAATGGAATGCTCTCTTGCTTCAGTTATGGATCACGCAATCACGGGATAGAAAGAGGCGTTCAGTATTCGGTTTCCAAGTGCCTTCTTCCGCTGTGAGTCGTAAGAGGGACTTTCTTCCTTCTGCATTGCAAATAGCTGTTCTTTCTGCGACAAAATATGGCTTTCAACGAGGTCTCCACTGTTTTTTGTCTCGCTTCTGTCGTCCAACGCGTCAGGGTTTGCCGTCGAGCGATTCTTCACGTCGGAATTAAACTCTCCAGTATTTGATTGAGCTTTCTTGCCATCGTAGGATAAAAATATCCTCTGAAACAAGTTTGCGTTTTTTTCTCTTCTTTGTTGCTCGCCTTTTACATCCTTCTTTCTCTGGGTTTTATAATCATACGGTTGACTCTTAGAAATGCTTCGAAACCGAGCTTGATGGGTTTTTGCTCTGTACCTCTGATATAACTCAAGAAAACCCGACAGTACTTCTGAAATAGCGATGCGACGTTGCTATCAAGATACGTATATAATTCATTAGTAAGCTGAGGAAAATCGTTAATAACCTTGGCAAGCTCTTCCGTTCCTGTAAGTTTACAAAAGCCGTGTGCCATCCTTTTTAATCCTTCTCTGTAAACATGAAACGAGTTATTCGGTTGTCTGTTTAACGGCCGGGAAAAACTGAAAGTTAAAGCAGGACTGGCTTCCTTGTTTTTCAGTTGGTAGGTGCTTTCTAGAAGAGATGACAGTTCTGGATTCGTCATAATCATCAGAGGCCCAGCGGTAGCAAAGATGATAAAATCCACAACCCTAATCACTTCACGCCCATAAATTTCCGGATGGAACGTTTTTAACACTGAGGTGGCCACGTACTCTTTGTCTTCTACAAGGCAGGACTTTAGAACGGGGTGATCTGCTCCTTTGATTCTGACGTGCATTGGATTCTCCGGTAAATATTCGATCAATTCCTCATGGATCATCAAATGACTTGAATCAGGATATATTACAATATCCACATCTCCCACATCATCTGGCTCAATGCACTTTAAATCTTCAGCAGCGCTTCCATATGGTCGAAAAAGTATGTCGTTTTCCGTATCTTTTAGTAGATCTTTTAAATATTGCTTTACAAGGTAAAACAAGATCATTTGTTCATGCGCCCTGGATTTTTGAGCATCGTTTTGTTCTCCGGGAGACTTAAATTGTAAGCTTAGTTCCTGTGTTTTTTCATCGTACCCTGCCGAAGCCATTATATCGTTCTGAAACTCTCGCATGGACGAGTGTGCTGAGTTTTATGACATCTGGGCCTCTAAAATAGATAATTTCAAGGGAATTCGACATTTCAGTTTTTGTAAGCAAAATGGAAAACTACCATTGGCTGGTCGGGTTGTTAGTGTAATTTCCATTTTGAAAAGTGAATTCATTGATAGAAAATGTTGGATAGGTTAGAAAGGTTATTTTTGCAAGCATTCCTTTCTTGAGAGAATATTCCAATGAATATTCCCGTGAGTCAAGTGACTTTTTTATCTATCTTTTTCAAACACACGATATTTCTTTGGAATTCGGTTTCCAAGCCGGCTACCGATCGAAGCTGAAAAACTCGTGGAGGGTTACAGCCTCTAGGAGTGGCAGGCGTTTAACCCTTTGAAAGTCCCAAGAGTACGTGACCAAGATCAATTTTCTCCTAACAATATTCATACATAATTAAAAGAAACGTTTATGAGAATATATAAAATGATCACCTTAGGGAAAATGCTTTGAACAAATTCTCCCAACTAGTTCTGTGAGGAAACGTATGGCGATCAGTTTGGAAAATTTGTATTTGGATATTGGGGCTTAAAGGGAAATGGAAAATGGAGAACCACAGCACGGCCGAGTTTTTGACTTGTGGAGATTTCGTTCACCCGAAAAGGTTCAACATTTTTGCTCCGTTCACAAGAAACTGACGAAGCAGGTTCAATTTTAACGTTCCTCGGTAAATTTAAAACTTGGCCATGCGTAGAGGGCTGCTTTAGAAACACCCAGCTGGGCTGCGACGGAGTCATGCAGCCACGCCTTTGCCGTTCAATAAGTTCGAAGGTTATGGTGTTAACAGCACACCGGTCCAATTTCTGATCCTACCGACTCTAAATTTGAATTTGAGTTTGGCGTGAAAATGTCTGAACGGCTAGGCGTGTTATTGTTTTTACGTTCAAGCAGTTCGCGTGAGTTGATTATACTCTCTTGGTGTGAACGGAACAGCTGAGCACCTAAATTTTTGACATGTCGAAAATTTCGTCTGTTGCCGTGTAGAGGTGAGCCTCTAAGGTGCGCGCGCATGGTGGGTTAGACCATAATATAATTACCTTCGCTACCTAATTTTCCCAGAGACTTGTAAATCAGGTGTTGATCCTGAGTTTTTACATCTTCGTGGGTGCCTTTCGCCGCCATTGTGAAAAGCATTAATACTGAACAGAGTGAAACTCCCAAGAATCTACAACCACTAAAGGAGGGAAATTTCTAAGAACTGGAACTTCCGGTTTCTTAGAATATTTCCGGGTTTGTCAATAATCGCTTGGCTAATCAAGCGTGATGTTGACAGAAAAAAGAAAACGTCATGCATTTTCGAAGAATGTAACGCATATCAGGGATCGCAATCTGTCTTCGAAGCCGAGGGGCACCTAGTAATAGGCTAATGGGGATGTGCCGCTGAATGGAGTTGCATTTTTACGACTGGATTGACTATTGGATTGCATTTTCCATATCGTTACTAGAATGGGATCGCTCATTTTCGGGATTTTGGAGGCAAGAATATTCCAGTAATTAGGGATTTCAAACCCTGAGGATTTTTACTACATTATTAACAAATGCGCCAATTTATTTCAGGATGACCTTGATAAAAGGCTTTCTAAGGTAGATGCATAAACAGAAATGACAAACTTGGGATCGCGAAAATTACATTTACGCAACAGTGACAGATACGGGGTGTATAATTGGCCACAGAATTGACTATAATGGGGTAGAGGTAGAGATAACCAGCAAAAACGTACTCAAATAGCCCCCCGGGTTTTCGAAGCCAGAAACGATGGAAGAGCAATTTAAAACCTTCAAAAGCCTGTGTGGAATATGTCTCAGTAAAGCCATTGGCTTCTGTCTTGGAGGGTTCTATAATGTTCTATGTTTTTAGTTTCAATGCGGGCAAAACGAATAGTATTCTCTCGTTACACGACTAATTCTGATGTTTGTTCCATAAACTTGAAAATTCCTGTGCGTGGTTTTATCCACAACATAAATGGCAACACTAACTCTAATAACAAAATTAGACAACCTGAAAGGGACTCTCTCCTCACAGTCGCCGCATAGAGTGGACTTTAGAGCAATACAGTCTCCTTACTTCTTGTTCATTCAATCCTGTTTTCAATGATTTATTGTATGCAGTTATTCACTCTTCATATTAGAGCTCCTGTGACGATCAAAACAGTAAATCATTCGAGATCTATTTGGCGCACTGCTGGCTATTCAAGCTAGGGACCTTCTACAATATAACTTTTTCATCATTTGGTCACTAACTTAGAAATGTCTCATAATTTCCAGGACTCTGAAAACACCTTGTATCCTTTTGCATCATTAATACAGTTGCGTCTACTATTTCTACCCAGAATCCTCAGGCCTTTGACCAGCGGGTAACCTGTGTACAGACCCCCCCGCCTCCCCTCGGGAAAAATCGGAGAAGGGGCCCCTTCTTCGATTCTTCCTGAGGGGAGGTTGGTCTGTACGCAGGCTACCAGCTGGGAACTACATACTGATCAAGGAAGACCCTTGGTGACTCAATAAAAAAGATTTTTTAGTTAGTTGCTTGGAAAATGCCACTTTTGTACCAGTAACGCGCCGTTCTAGCAATGTATTTCAACTTGAACTGCCCAAACCTTAAGGGACTAGAGTACATGGCCTTTTCTTGAGTATATTTTCTACGAAAAAGCTCATTTTTTAAATTTATTTTCTTCTGTAGTGAATAGTTTTAAGGATCTTTGACCCACTTAGTACCTGAAGAAGCTATAATGACAATGGCCTCCTTAAACACTCACAATAAATAACTGCTACTGTCAGGTTTGTTTGAGGAATCTTAGTAAATCTTGGTATATAAGCAACTCGTTGACATTAACTTTAGTCACTTTATCTTACTTTTCTTTTAGCTTGATTTGTTGAGAACGCCTGCTTAATTTACATAACAAGGCGATGACGTCAGTCTATTGGAATGTCCTCCTGAATAACCTTTGGAGCCTGAGCCGGCCTGAGTCGGGGCGTGACCTTCTCGCCACGAAAAATTCCTCGGATAAATCGAAACCGTGGACTAGAAAGCAAGATGTGGAACAACAAGTCGAAAGAATCCTCGAAAGAAGGATCAAGTATTTGTTGAATGATAGCTTCTTCATTTCCAGTTGCAAAGTGTTCTTGCTTTAGTACATACTTGCACCATTCGAGGACGGTCTTAATCCCACTAAGGGTACAACTCCTAATGTTCGGTTCTTGGCTGAACAGAAGTTTGAAGTAAGCTGTGTCCCAGTAGATGTCAAACATTTTAGGGAAGTCAGCAACTTGAATGATATGGTACTTTTCAATTTCTCGCAGATCTTCTATTATGGACTTCTCCAGAGAATGAAGACTTTGGAGGCTGCGATGAGGGTCTTTAAAAGCCAAATCAGTCATCTCCTTGCTAGTAGACAGAAAAATGTCTTTTAGGTCGTTGTAACGGAAACTAGCCATCGAAATTCTCTCTTGATTTATTGCTTCTTTAAATTCTTTCTCTGTGCCTTTGCAGGAAACTTCTTCATGGACATCACTTTTACCTTGTGTAGTAATAGCTGCCATGCAGTTCTGTTCTTTTTTCGCCTGTTCGGAATTTTGTCTCTGGATCAATTTTCTCACAAATTGCATCGGATTTTCATTGATCTTCTCACATATTTCAACCAAGGGCTCCAGAATATTGAGGTCTTCTATGTAGTCTACACTGAACAAGTTGTAAGATCTCACAAAGAAGTGACGCAAATCTCTCTTTCTTAGAGCTTCCAAAAGGCTTCGAAACAACTTCATCATGCACTCTACTCTGTTGCTTTGCGTCCAAATTTCAGCACCAGTCTCTTCAACTGTTTGCAGAAAGAGGTTCTTCAGGTGAAACGACACCAAACGCTTGGGTTTTGTGGAAAGATGGGCTCGATGAAATTTTTTTAGGCAGCGGTAACACTCGCGCTGGACTTCGTTTAACTCTCTGCTTAACAGGAATTCTGCATTTGCAAAAGATATTCTGAAATCGCATTCTAGATTGCCACCATTCTTTGGAGCTTTTGCAACCAGATGAAAACCCTCCTTGAGAATTTGGTCGATTACCTCTTGAGAAGGCCACTTGCGTTCTCTTCTGATCCATTCTTGCGCAACCATGGGCCATCCTGGAGCCTTAAATGCTGGAACAATGTCGACTCCACCTTTCGCATGATCCGAAGACTTTTCAAAGTCTGTAACGTTGGCGGCTTCCTTAATGGAATCCTCTCTTGCTTCAGTTATGGATCCCGCAATCACGGGATCGAAAAAGAGGTTCAGTATTTGTTTTCCACGTGCCTTCTTCCGCTGTGAGTCATAAAAGGGCCTTTCTCCCTTCTGCATTACAAATAGCTGTTCTTTCTGCGACAAAATATGGCTTTCAACTAGGTCTCCATTGTTTTTTGTCTCGCTCCTGTCGTCCAACGCATCAGGGTTTCCCGTCGAGCGATTCCTCACGTCGGAATTAAACTCCTTAGTATTTGATTGAGCTTTCTTGCCATCACAGGATAAAAATGTCCTCTGGAACAAGTTTGCGTTTTTTCTCTACTTTGTTGCTCGTCTTTTACATCCTTCTTTCTCTGGGTTTTATAATTGTGTGGTTGAGTCTTAGAAATACTTTGAAACCGAGCTTGAAGGGTTTTTGCTCTGTAGCTCAACTCAAGAAAACCCGGCAGTGCTTCTGAAGTAGTGATTAGACGTGTGCTATCAAGATACATATATAATTCATTAGTAAGCTGAGTAATATCGTCAATAACCTTGGTATGCTCTTCCGTATAAACAGTTCCTGTAAGTTTACAAAAGCCGTGTGCCATCCTTTTTAATCCTTCTCTGTAAACATGAAACGAGTTATTCGGTTGTCTGTTTAACGGCCGGGAAAAACTGAAAGTTAAAGCAGGACTGGCTTCCTTGTCTTTTAAATGGTAGGTGCTTTGTAGAAGAGATGACAGTTCTGGCGTCGTCACCATCATCAGTGGCCCAGCAGTAGCAATGATGATAATATCCACTACGTTAGGCACTGAACGCCCATAAATTGCCGGATTGAACGTTTTTAACACTGAGGTGGCCACGTACTCTGTGTCTTCTACAAGGCAGGAGTTTAGAACGGGGTGATCTGCTCCTTTGATTCTGACGTGCATTGGATTCTTCGGTAAATATTCGATCAATTCCTCATGGATCGTCAAATTATTTGAACCAGGATATATCACAATATCCACATCTCCCACATCATCTGGCTCAATGCACTTTAAATCTTCAGCAGCGCTTCCATATGATCGGAAAAGTGTGTCGTTTTCCGTATCTTTTTCTTGGTCCTTTAAATATTGCTTTAGAAAGTAAAACAAGATCATTTGGTCATGCTCCCTCCATTTTTGAGCATCGTTTTGTTCTCCGAGAGACTTAAATTGTAAGCTTAGTTCCTGTGTTTTTTCATCGTACCCTGCCGAAGCCATTATATCGTTCAAACTCTCCCATGGAAAAGTGTGCCGAGTTTTATGACATTTGGGCTTCTAAAATAGAATATTTCAGGGAGTCGACGTTTCAGTTTCAAAGACAATTTTTGTGAGCAAAACTATCATTGGCTGGTCGGGTTGTTAGTGTAATTTCTATTTTGAAAAATGAATTCATTGATAGAAAATGTTTGATAGGTTAGGAAGGTTATTTTTTGCAGTGAAACCAAAACATTCCTTTCTTGAGAGAATATTCCAATGAACATTCCCTTGAGTCATGTGACTTTTTTCCTACCTTTTTCAAACACACGATATTTCTTTGGTGGTGACAAGATTTCGGTTTCCAAGCCGGCTACAGATCGAAGCTGAAGACTCGTGGTTGGTTACAGCCTCCAGTAGTGGCAGGCGTTTAACCCTTTTAAAAGCCCAGAGATTTTCAATTTTCTCCTAACAATATCCATACATAATTAAAAGAAACGTTTATGAGAATAAATAAAATGATCACCTAAGGGAAAGTGCTTTGATCTTTAAACAAATTCTATCAACTAATTCCGTAAGGAAATGTATGAAGGTCAGTTTTTTGGAGAATTTGTATGTGGATATTGGGGCTTAAAGGGTGAAAGGGGGACGGAAAATGGGGAATCACAGCACCAGACGAGTTGACTTGGGGAGACTTTGTTCACAAGAGAAGATTCAACATTTTTGCTCCGTTCACAAGAAACTGACGAAGCAGGTTGAATTTTAAGCTCGTCGGTGAATTTACAACCTGGCCATGCGTAGAGGGCTGCTTTAGCAACACCCAGCTGAGCTGCGAGGGAGTCATGCAGCCACGCCTTTGCCGTTCAATAAGTTTGAAGGTTATGGTGTTAACAGCACATCGGTCCAATTTCCGATCCTACCGACTCTAAATTAGACTTTGAGTTTGGCGTGAAAATGTCTGAACGGCTAGGCGTGTTATTGTTTCTACGATCAAGGTGTTCGCGTGAGCTGATTATACTCTCTTGGTGAGAACGGCACACCTAAGAGCCTGAATTTTTGACAGGTCGAAAATTTCGTCTGGTGCAGTGTAGAAGTGAGCTTGTAAGAGGCGCGCGCTTGATTCGCGCTGGGTGGGTTAGCGCGCGGAAAGGACTAAACACGACTTTCGGTGCTCTAATTGCCGCTCTGCCATTGGTCCAGCCAGTTGTTTAATTTGCGCGCGCCGTCGTCAACTGACTTTCCCGTCCTGTTGCTAAATCAGGCTTATAATGTAAAGTTTTTATGCCTTCCACGCCTTGCATACCGGCCAGATAAGTAATGCTGAATGCTTGTGTAGTGAAGTTGCGACATCGCTCAGATTCAGCTCGTTTTTGCAGCAATGTCGCGTATACTGTGATGATCATTTCTACATTTTACTACTACATGAGAAATTTCTTCAATTTGATTGGCTAAGAGCAGTGGTATTTCAGCTTAATTTGAAATACCTACATGTGACAATTACAAAACCTTTGTGGGTAGTAGTATAAACAAATATTATCATGATTTGCACTTGATATTTGGCATAAATACCAGTCGTGATATTTCAAAATTGTCTCAAATTTCACTTGCCTAACAGCTCGTGAAATTACGTATCACAATTTTGAAATATCACTCGAGGGATTTATACCCAATATTACTATAAATCATGCTATTACCTATACTTATTTTTTCATCCCGCAGTTCAAAATATATGAAATCCATAATACTCATTATTTTATGTACAGATTTTGTTGCAAGAAGTAAACAATTCTGTACTTTCTGGAACAACTTGTCGCAACCTGCAACAGCCTGATTTGTTGCATTAAGACATTTGTGGATGGTAAAACGTACAACATCGCTATTCACTCGCTTTGCAGCAATGTCGCAAAAGCGGCACGTTTTTCGTTGCGCATTTCACCGTATCTTTACGCCCTAGGAAAGGGCTTAAGTTACTAGCATGTGACCACCAGGAGGTGATTATTATTATTATTAAATTATATTAATGATAATGATAGAAGAAAGGAGAAAAAAAGAATCGGGAAAACAGAGGCCGGACATCTTAGGCTATACAAGTTGAAAGAGAACACAACAGAAAGGCAGGCGGAAGGGCAAAGCGTAACACCACTTGTAAAGGATGGTCAACTAATGAAAGCTTTTTTGCTAACGCAAGTATTTTTGACAAAAGTCTTAACATTGGGTCTAACCAAGAAGTTTTCAGGAATGAGTTTATAGCACATACTTTCTTTTTCAAACCATTGTCATTTACTGGTATAACTAAGATGCTTTCCGGCCTTAATATTTTACAAAATGGGTGGTTATACCCAATTTCTTCATAGGATGTTATAATGTTATACACACCTTGTTGAGATCCACTTTGATTTTTTGTTTGTGCATCTTTAAAACGGACAGAAGAAAACCCTCCAAAAGAAGGCATTATATAGTCTAAGTTAATCAAAGTAATTTTTGAAATCATTCTCACTAGAATAACAAGTGGCGTTGCCTAGTAAGTTAAATTTTTTTAATGTATTACAGTAAGTTTATACAGTACTACAGGAGTATATCATTTTATATTGGTTACAAAATAAAGAACACAAGGAGGGTAATTCTTGTCTTAAACAAACTGGCAGAAGTAAAAATAGAGTGTGTTAGAGTGGTTTTCGTTTGAGTGTCGTAAAACCAAAACCAAAGTAATTACTCTGGCCAATCACATAGAACACAGACAATACATTGAACCAATCAAAACTCGACGTAATTACATGTGGCTGACGCAAAGGCGCCCTTTTACGTACGCTCGCGCAGTGTTAACCGAAACCAAAGTGAAGACTAACCTACTTTTCCACCGCGCTTAGAAAATTCGGTTAGCGTAGCACATCTTTCAGCAAAACCAATTACTTTTCGACACTCGAATGAAAACCGCTCTAAACAAGGTCAACAATAGTCCTCCCTAAAGTTCTATTAATGCTACCTCCCCCAAGCCTGTTCCAGGCGTTCACATAGTTGAGACAGCACAAAGAAACTGAATGGACAGGAAACTCAGTGAGGGGGTAGCAGTGATTTTTTTTACCTCTGCGTCCTGCGTACCTGACACACAAAAATTCCCACACACGCAAAATAATTTGTGGTATGCGTCCAACAGGACGCAAAGATCAATTGATCGATCAGAAGATATTTTTGTAGAATATCCTGTTTGTGTGATTTCTGTGGCTGTTCTTGTGACTGTCATTTAACAACTCATATTTCTTTTAGTCTTTGTTGTGCTTGACAATAGAAGGAGCATATTTTTATTTCTGTAAACTGTAATACAGAGTGTTGGAGTCTGTCTACAGAAGAGAACCCAGGGACTTGTTTTAAACTGGGACTCAATGGCTCTGGACAGGGACTCATGATTTTTCACAAGATGAGTCCCTGAGGACTCAACGTACCTATTTGTAACAAAATCACTGGGGTAGTGGCCCTTCATTTTGCAGCACTTTGTACTATCTGAACGACTGGAACAGCCTTGCCCCTCTGCAATAATACCAACTAACTCTCCAGAAATCCAGTGGTTTTCCTGGTTCAAAAAAGGTTCATTATTGGTAAGTTTCTCTGGTGACAAGTGCAATACACCACCTAGTTGACAGAGAGGCACAAGCTACTTAAAGAAAATACTTAAAGTGAGAACTTGGGTAAGGCCCCAGATTTCCTCAATGAAGGGGCAAACCCTTATAAACCATATCCCACCCCAGCTGTGCTGTTAGATCCCTTGGATCTAATCAGTTGTTGCGTCCACTTAATTTTTTCTTCTACATTAAATTTCCTGTAGAACTAAAATTAACCTAATTCTGCTGCCAGAGTTTAATAATTAAAATGTATTTACAGTTTATTGCTTTAAAACAGAAAACCCTCTTGAAGTAAATAATTTAAAGGATGAGTATCTATCACAAGCAGATATTACTTGTTCAGTTGGCAAGAAGTTGAAGAGGGATGGTACTGATGCTATAGCTGAATTTTGTTGTCTGAATGCTTGACTTCTTCATACAGTCAAACCTCGATAATACGGACCCTTACAGGGCTATAGAAAGTGTCCGTATTAACAGGGTGTTTGTATTAACAGGTTGAATTTAGACAAAATGTAAGAGTTTCTTTCTCCAGGGGCAAAGAAAACTGTCCATAATAATGAGGTGTCCATATTAAGCGGGTGTCTGCAAAGTGGGGCCTGACTGTAGTATAATTTTGGGTTGTTTTACTTAGAGGTAGATAGAGTTTGGTTGCAGTATTTGAATAAAAAAGTGGCATAGTCCTAATCTTGAAACCTCCATGAAGCACCTCAATCTAATCCTTTGTATGAAATATCCCCTTTAGATTCCCTTTCATAGCACAATGTACATGTATGTACTGTAGAACTTTGTCTTAAAGTGGAAATTTATTGTGAGCCTTCTTGTTTAGCCTCAATGATCTGAGATTCTATCACGATCCAAATAATCTGTAAAAGAAATAGCACACTTTTAACATTCCTTACGAGACAAGAGAAAGAAAGGGAAGATGAAAAAGAGGATGAATAAACCTTACCTGAAAATTTTAACTACGTAAAAATATTATAAAAACAACAATATTTGAACTGGAACGTTTGGTTTCATTTGCCATTTCATGGTGACAAAATATCTAATGATGCTTAAATGACAAAAGGAGAAAACTGTATAAGATCAAAGTGACTTGATCCCCTTTTGTGAATGCACTCATTAAACTTCCTCAAAGGATTGCATGCACTAATTTAAACTTTCTGTACTTACATAACCATGCATATTATCATAATTAGATTCCAAATGCCAATAAAAATCCTGAAATAGCGGAGATTTAAGAGGAATTCTCTGAACTTTTCAGCTAAAAAAAAAGGAAAAACGAAAGTAAGAAATCAGTAAACCAAAAACAGAAGTAACACAATCATGTCTACCACTGAAGATACAGCCTACAATTTTCAATTACAATTCATGAACACATGGGATGATGTTTACCTAATGAAGGTTCATCATTTTCATCACCAAATGAGTCTGTAGGATTCCTCTTTTTACTTCAAAAATAGGACAAAATAAAAAAATTAGCACATGTGATGAATTTATAAGACTGTTGGGTAGGTCAGACAAGAAAAACCCCAGAATATCTGTATTGGTGGGGAATCTTGTTGTCATCTGATCCTACATGCTTGAATAACAACTTCAAATAAGCACCCCCTCTACCCTCATCACTAATAAATCCTCTTGTGAGCCCCCCCACTGTCCCTCCATGGAGAGAATCTGGATCTTGGCTGACTGCAGCAGCATTTTCAGCATCATTAGGCATAATGTAGTACCACCCCTGCAGCCATGTAACAATATTGGTACCCAGTGATTTTAAGTAGTACACAACACTCTACATTGACAATGTGAAAGCAAAGAAAAAATGTCATGGAGTTTGATATTAATATATTGCCACCCCACACTGCCCCTTCCTGAAACTTGTGCTAAATTTGTTTACCTTTAAAGTAGGAGAGAGGAATTTTTTTGCTTTTCAGGATTTTTTCTAGCACTGCCCTCTTGAAAATCTAAATTCTTATGCACTTTCTTATGACATTACAGAAAGAGACATATCACGCGTTAAGTAATACTCACAGTTTGAAGTTTAATACTGCACAGGCATTAATTAGCAGTGTACTGAAAAGGAAATATAAAAATGGTAATAGGATTGAGTGGAATCCAATTTAGTCTGTAATCATATGAGTGATCAACAAAGGCATGCTGGTACTGTCCTATTGTGTGAGTTGATAGAGTTGTTTTAATTTTTATGCCATAAGATAAGGCAAGAGTTTGATGAAAAATGGAGATCCGAATGGGAGGGGGAGGGGGTGGGGGCTAACAAATATATGGAATTCTGGGGTTATGTGGGGAGTTAGCCCATTTTGGAAATTCCGAAGGCAAGGGGAGTTTAAATTATGGAAGCCATCTGTACATGGTATGTTATGGATATTTTCTACATTAATCGCCCATTACAACCCTCCAAGTTGCGACCATTTTAGTCGCCATGGCGCCTAAAATTTTGGAACTGGCGACTTGATTTGGAGAATAGTTGCCAAGCTGGCGGCTGTGAAGAATAGGTTCGTGTTGTGGCATATAGAAACAGAAATGGTAATCACTTCTACTGAAATATGAAGAACATTTATTCTAGCTGATTTGAATTAAATTACTTTTTTACTTTTCCGTTGAAAAACACTCTATATAATAAACTGAAAACTTAAAAAAGTCCCAGAGCTAAGAGTTTTGAAAAGGAACATCAATGAAACTTGACTTGCATTCGTTCGCCTAATCGCCTTCAGTCTGTTGCCTTGCACGTGACATTTTAACTTTTGACACGTGACAAATGGCACGCAATCGAAGCGCCTTGCTTGTCGACAGTGACGATTTCTTCGATATCTTAGGAATGCTTGTCTAGCCAAGCTCGGTGGTTTTTTAACTGGACTACATATTATAAATATTTTTGAATCAATACTGAAACAATCTAATAACATGAAGAGCGATAGCTAAATTGGTGCAAATTCAACACAGAACATTATGTGATAACCGTAACATGTGAACCGTGCTGCAATTTGAATCGCGGTTTTGTAAACAAAAGCGATAATTGTAAGCGAAACTAAACATCGCAAAACTGACAGCTTATGGTTGTTGCAAAAAATGTTTTTTTTTAAACACCTGTAGTGATGATAAAGGAAAAAGAAAATTTATTATTTCGTAAGCGGCATTTTTGTTTGGGTTCCTTTCAATTGATTGGGAAAATCATTTTTTCCCAGTACAACTCGTTGCGAAATATTTTCACGTGCGCGACATTATCTCTATAAAGCAACGATTTGATTAAGAAAACTTGTCGATCTTCCTATACTCTCCTGCCTTTGTCAGGCTTTCGCAATGTCTAGCGATATTAAAAACGCCCTTTTAAATCTCCAAAAATATTTGTTAGTTGGGGAAACAAGTTCATCATCAACAAAAGTCGCAAAAGATATGCGAAGCGAATATCAGAAAAAAAAAAAAAAAGGTCGCCTATCAAGTTGCGACTGGGAAATTTTGAACACATTAACAGAGGATGAGTTAAGTTCTGCTCTCATATACCAACTGGGGATTATACAGAATGATTGAATGCCCTAAAGACAACTGGAAATGGTAATTGTCTTTACAATTTCATTTCAGTATTGATTCAAGGAGATGAATCTGCAAACCTTATTCTCAGACTATCAGTAACTAATGCCTTGCACAATAAACGAGTAATTTATAGACAGTGCTGCATTTTAAGTTAAACTTGCTAACTGCTTTTGTTAAGGACAATTTTGATATATTAATTTATTAATATAATTTGGCGCCTAAAAATTTCCCCTGGCAACTAAACCCAAAGAGCTGATCGCCAAATGGCCACTGAACAAAAATTTTAACTTTGAGGGTTGCATTACACTGTCATATTGGTGCTAAAATCATGACAGTTGATAGCCAATCAGATTTGAGAATGCTGTTATAGTTACATGATTAATAAATAAATAAACTGCACCCCACCAAAGGTTCAAGTACTCTACTGTTGAATGCTTTATAAGCAGACATCCTTGAGACTTTAAAAAGTGTCTGCCATTGGGAAAGGTTAAATGTGCCTATCTGTGGGAATTTGACGGCGAATTTGTCAGGTGATTGTCACTGGGTTGAATCAAAGAACCTACAAAAAGTGATCTAACCTATGAAGTAGAGTTAGTTGTTAAGTCTATTTATTATATAAACACCAATGAAATACCAAGTGAGCTTTCGCACGAAAACTTGATAACTTCATATGTGAAAATAACATGTTATCTTCACATGTGAAAATATCACCATTGCTATGGCTTCATAATAAATGGCACCTTTCAGACCAAAAAACTTTTTAAGTAAGATGGTTTGGCATTTTATTAGTGTTTATATAATAAACAGAATATAACATGGTCGCTTGGAGATACCAAATTTCTCTTCAAGAGAAATTTCGTATCTCCGCGTGGCCATGTAATATCCTCTATGTATGTGAGTTAACAGACATGCCATAACTTCAGTTTTCTTGCAGTATCAGTTGGTTGGTTAATTCTATGTCTGATGATTTTTTGAGTTTATCAAAATGTGCATTAAGGGGCATGAAAAATACCAGATGTTTCGAGGGTGCTCCCTCTTCCTCAGTGGTTTAAAGCATTTAATTTTATGTCCCTTCAGGTACCCTGACAAGTGCATTGAAGGTGATGGATTAAACATTCTAAGGAGCTATTTACATGATACTGGAATGACTTTCATTCCAGAATGAGTTCATTCCATCTCCATATATTTCTTTGTATCTGTTCACATGATACCAGGACAAAATTTTGTTCCTGTACCAGTCATTCCAGAATGAGTTCATTCCGGTTTTCATTCTGATTGAAATCCTTGTGCTGGTACAAAATGTCATTCTGGTATCATATAAACTGAAAACAAACTTTGTCGCAAATTGTGTAGGGCGAGGGCGAGAGGTGCATGAGCATCTGATCTGGTGCGAAAACCACACAATCCAGAATGCCTTAGGTTGAGCTGTTTGATTTTATCATGTGAATGCAGCATGAACTTCACTCTGGAATGAAACTTGTTCAGGAATCAGTCATTCCGGTATCATATAAACAGCTCCAAAGAGTAAGGCCTTCTTTGGGGGAAAGGGAGTATGTATATTCCTATGATTAGTTTCAAAAGCTGTCATTACTTATGATACAGAACAGGAGCAGATCTATACAGGTTCCCGCTGTTTTAGGAAAATGGGTCAGATTTTCCAAGTTCAAATCTAGCCAATATCCAGTCTTTATGACTCAGAAACCAAAATCCAAAAGATTTCCTGGCGAGGCACATCCCCGAACCCCAAGGAACCTTGCACTTTCACAGCTCGTTTAAGAAATCGGTCAGTATATTTTATCCTTGATCCGCCTGCATAAGCTAATAAAGTTCCTGTTGGTTTATTTGCACCTATCTTCCTTGCCGCCGTAGTTTCAACCCATCTCTGAATTTGAATGAATCATTTATGCGGGATACCCGTGTACAAACTCGATCTCGTTGCGATATTTTCGCGTTTCTTTTACACTTTCTATTCATTACACAAAGCTGTTAAAACGTACACCCATAAGCTTTCTACGTGTCATATTCTATCAAACACTGCCATTCAATTTTAACGTGATTCTAGCATGACTAAACGCGACGCAAAATTGAAATACGAAAAACTGCTCGTAAACAAGGTATACATACCCCGCTACCAGAATGTCCGAAATAAAAGCCATAATAAATGAAATTTCCTTGCGTTTGAATACAAAACAAAAACAGTGTTCACTTATCAGTTGTTCACAAGTTCAAGATAGCTGGCGTGGTTACATAGAAGATAGAGCGGCCAGGATGCTAAGCCACTTGTCCCCAATCTTCGTTGGCCACGGTAAAGTGGTTCGTTTCCCACGGGGAAAAATCCTGCAACTTTGGTTGGTTCTATTTATTCATCTTTGTTTTCATCTTTGTCGAATTGTCGGTTCTTCATCCTTCATGATTGAATTAATCCAAGAGCACAACATCACTTCACAACTGCTTACAGTTAGCCTGTATAACCACACGCGCCAAAAATCTTGTACCAGAATAACAGGCCACTTGCACTAAGAGGTCACGTGACCAATGCTTCCTTTAAACAATGAGTTGGAATCTAGCTGATGCCAAAAATTGACAGAGCACATAAAAATTATCTTAAACCGGAAATTTAAAAGGAAACGCAATAAGGGAGATATTTTATGGCGCTTTGAATTTTCAACCAAGTACTATGATTTGACAAGAGAGAATGAGCTCTTGGATTTGTATTGGCCGCAATGTTGGAGGGCATACTCTTGCCCTCCAACATGGCGGCCAAAACTACTTTTTCCTTATATCTTGTTATACGTTTGATAGTTACGCTCAAATGTGCGGTAAAAGTTACCAGATCATCTTTTCAACATTTTCCTAGAAGTTTAAGTGCAAAATTTTTGTTCAGAAATAGGTAATTCATAATTTTAA